AAATATCTAAATTTGTGTTCATGAGGGTAATTAATGACAATTCTCATTTTTGAGTGAATTAAACCTTCAATAGCATTATTTCAATAAAATGACCATGACTGTAATTGGGATTAAAAATGGGCTTTTGTGATAAAAGAAAACTGGCCTTTAATTTTATCAGAAAGAGCAACAGAATACACGTTTTTCTTTATGGTATATAAATAAATAAATATTTATAAAAAATGTAAAGATGACAAACTGCATAATTTTTCTTCATAAAGATATATGCATATCATGAACAGTAAGAAATCTTTATGGCTGCTAAATTTACTCCTTTCACCAACATTAGCACAATATGTTAATTTTGTATCCTGCTTAAACCACACATTTATTTACCAACCTGAATTTGGCTGCCCTTATTTAATCCACTCAATGTGTTAATGATAATGTGTGACCTAATGAGACAATGGTCAAAGGAAGACGAGTGATGATGACATCTTCAAGAAAAGGTCACTTTCATTCATCTTCACATATCACTAATAAAGATCCCATTAGAGGTGGCGGACTATCATTATAAGGGTTGTTGATGCATTGATTGTTTGCCAGATTCAAAAATAAATGATGGGCCTGCAGTGCATACAGATAAGAGCGAGTTCTTTTCAAAAGAGCCCTTTACACCCTGTACTAATAAAACACATGTGAATACATAACGATGTGCTAGAGACAGCTAATCACTCTCAGGTCGACATGTTAATGCTAACTAGTGTTGATTCAATTCAAACTTTGTTTCATAAAAACAAAGACATTTCTCATGAATGTAGATTGGTTTCTTATGCAAGTTTATGTAAGTTTTGGCCAAACACTTTTGGGCAACTTTTAAAACTATTATTACTTTTAATTAAAACTCTGAGGTAATGTAAGATTCCATTTTCCAACAGAGTTGTTGGACCCCAAAGTGATTACACTGGCTGAGACAACTAATCTCGATCTCATTAGAAAAGATAACAATATCACGAAGTGGCGATTTTGAAATAATTTAAACAATTATTCATACAGATTTTAGATTTCAGAAATTAGCAAGCATGAAAATAACCCCTAAAGCTAACCATAGTAAGTAGTAAGGAAATGAGATGGTATTCTGCAGGAGACTATTATATAGGATCTTGTATGACACCGGCAATTTTTGAGCTGTGCACAACTAAGGTATAAACAGTGGCAGCGCTATACATCTGGGCTTGCTGGGGCTTTAGCCCCTCCAAAAATTGGCTTAGCACCCCCTTTGAACTGTTAAGCCCCCCCTTAGAAGAAAATCCTGGAGCCACCACTGGGTATAAGCAAATATATCGTAGCATAATACAAACTGGTGAACTCAGAACTCAATCCCTTAAAGTCTCATTATAGTGAAGCTAAACATGATTTTGTGTATTCAGATTCAGAATGATTGTTCCCATCTGACGAAACTTAATCAGAACTTCAATCGTTCCACTACTCTTGTCTGGGTGCAATGTCTGCCTGTTTACAAGCTCAAAGACATTCGTGTCATTCCTGATAACGCCAAGCGAGACAGGCTGACTGCCTGTTTACCTGATTTGCACAATTTTATTAATCAAATTATTCATTAAAATGATGCTGGCTTCATTTATTTTATTCAGCCTCACTGAATTTGTCCCAGAGTCTTTGCCTCAGAGGAACAAACACACACGAGTGACACGCCAGCACACACAAGCACATTTTTTAGAGGTTATATGGATTACATCATCAAATGCTGTGCTCACTGAGTCCTACAATGAAAGAAGATATTTTAGTCCTTTGGCTAGAATACAAAGTCTCAAATGCATGTTCTTTTGACAAGCAAATATTACAGATGACAGCCGCTCTTGGCCTTTGGAAGTCATTTAACTTGAGGACATCAGACCTTTTACACAGATCAAATAATTCCCTATTTGTAGCTGTCTCTCTAAATAATACATCTCTAAATTTAAATATGTGTGCCCTCGGTACACCGTGTGTCACATTTCCTCCATCACCATGATGCTGCTTTGATTTGATATTTTTCAGCTTATTTCCCCACGCTGCCATCAGCGGCCACATTAATGGATCTAACGTCACTTCAGTGTTGTACCTGAAAACGTTCATTGAACGATAGTGCCACATGCGTCATCAAGACATTAAGCAGCATGTAGTCAATCGGTTCCCAACAGAGGGGTCGTGGCCCACAAGTGGGCCTCAGCAAGCTCTGTGGGGGTTTGCGTCATATTTTGAAAAGTTTTGAGCAATGAGCAAAAGTCATTAACTTTTTTTCTAATCAAAATTTACAACATTTATCTAATGAGCGAGTTCATCATGAATCCATCAATCCATGTTTTTGTCTTATCCTTAACCACTATGGTACACACCTATAATGAGTGTTTACATTGGGACTATTTTACACTGGTTCGGATCGCCGTCACTCGTGTTTCTTTGTTCTTGTTTCCATGGTCACTGATTATCATCACAGTTGTTCTTTATTTTGTCATCATCACCTTGTTTAAATTCCTCCTTGAGCACTCTTCAGTTGTCCGGTATCGTTTGTGTTTCACACGCTTTCTCACATGAAGGCTGTCTAGTTTTGAGTTGAATAAATACACCTTGTGTTATATTCGCTTCATCTTCATCGGATTTAGCATTACACACACAAACACACACAAAGAATGAGTAACGCAATATTTACATGCAACAGAAACTCAATTGAATGTGATAGTAGTTCACTGGAGTGAACTCAGGTTGATTGGGACACTTTTTCCAAGTCATCTCAATGGCAAAAAGTGTCACAATCACCCTGAATTCACCCTATCAACTGATCAGAAACTACTCTTTTTTTTTACACCTCCCAGAGGACTATGAAAATTACCATATACAGGTTCAATATTAATGTGAATAATGCATAATGTAGAAGCATAAGTTCTAGTAATGACTGAAGTCATCGCAAGCATTTAAGGTTTGGGTTATTAATTCCCTCTGAAGGATTTGATAGTTCCTCTGTCATTACTAGTGGGTTCACATGATCTTCACTTTTGAATTAATTACACAATGCATTATTCACATTAATTATGAATCATACTTAAGTAGTTCTTACAGTAGTCCTGGAAGGTATGAAAAAAAGTTAGTTATTGATTAGCTAATTGTCAACTACTGCATTCAAATGATCACTGTAACTTACTAATTAGTTATTTCTTGTAATGTTAATAGTGTGTTACTCATTTGTACCCGTGTGATTCATTCATGATGGAACCGAGCCATCAATTCCCTTCTTCCCATTTACAGCACTCATTGCTTCATTATTATTTCATAGTGTGTGAGTTTGATCTTTTTCTACAAGACAATGATAATGATCTTCAAAAGCCACGAGGAATGGAAAAGGCACATGTGAATGTTCTCTGAGTAAAAGGTAGTTCAGAAGTGAGACAACTGAGAGTTAAATCTAAGGTCTCTCTGCTCTTCTGACATTCAGTACAGTAATGCAGTTGCTTGTAAACTGTTTTTTATACATGTAAATTATAATTTTATAATTATATATTCTAAAAATAGGGATGCATGATTTTTTTAGGTTATTTTTGTGCAAATTCTTATCTCTTATTTTTACATTTGGATCACTTCTGCTATCTAACTGTCAGGGGTGTGTGCCAACACGCACAGAGGAGAACAAGAGGTAATCCAAACAATACAGTCTTTGTTAATAAAACCAAAAATGTAGTTCAATGAAGATGTACGGAAGAAACTACTCAAACCACATATAAAGCTGATGAGAATCAACAAACACAACTGAAAACTCAGGGCAAACAAGGAACTAAAATAGACAGTTGAATCTAATCAGTGACTATATGGAAAAATAGGGTAAATAAAAAACTAAACTATGGGTTCGTTTATGTAACAGTTTCATTTGTATGGATTTTGGCCATTCATTTAAATGGCAATGATATTTTGGGGGCCTGAACATGCAACCTTTTGAAAACGGTTTTCAAAGTTTTGAAAAACAATACTATTGTCATCTCTGTGTAAACTACAAAAACATGAATTTGCAAAAATGGTGATGTCATCAGAATTAATAAATTACACGTTAAGCCTATAGTCAATGTGTTTCAACATTTGTGTTAGGCACAGTGTTTCTTGACAAGTTAAGTTGACATCGCCATCTACTGGCCAAACATACATTTTAGCATTAAAATAACTAACCTAACTAGTATTTTAGTCATTTTCGCGGATCAGTGTGAACGGGATCGCTTTGACAATATTGTTGTCTGTACATGAAAAACACAAAAGAAAAACATTTCAGTTTTTAGTACAGCATTGTCACGTCAAATCTCAAAATTAATATGTATTTTCATACTATAATAAAATCACTTGTTGTATTTAAAACTTGTGGCATTTCGTATTTAAAGCATTTTATTTTTTTTCATTGATTTAGGCAAATAGTAGAATGTGATTTAATAACATGAATATCGGCTTTTGTGCCAGAATGCATTCCATACTTTTTTATATCCTATATAACACCATTCAGTATACAATACACTCAATTTTAGGTTTTCAAGTTTTATTTTTTATTCATTTTTTTAGACAAAATATAGAATTTTAATATTGGCCAGAATCATAATATCAGTGTATGTCACTACTAATGTATCCTGATTATGTACTGCAACACCTTTAGTAGGCTTAAAACTCTCTCCACTATAGATTCCATGTCACGTCTCATTTAAAGACGTAAACTAACAGTAAATTGTAATAATAAGAAATAAAGAAGTTAAACGTTCATGGGGACCAGTGGGACATTTGCCATCCAGCCTGCTTGTTTGAAATAAAATTCACAAATAATAATATCTTTGTCAGCAGGGGCTTTCAAATTTGATGTGATCTTTACTGTCTGCTGCATGTGTGAAAACGTGGCCGCAGCTTGTCATTGCACTCTGACAGGAAATCGAGGAAGACATGCTGTCACCGCATAAGCGGAATAAGGTCATCATTGTCTTTTGAAGCAGTGCACTGTGCTTATCAGAACTATAAACTCCATCTCTCCACACACTCTACTATAGACATAAAAGCATCTCTCCATTAAGCAAGCTGTTTTAATGAAAAGAAAACTATACTGCACAGCTTAAGCCAAGCCGAGCGACTCGATCACAGAAGTAAATCTTGCTAGACTATGAAAATAAACCAGTTCCTGTCTCTCTGGTGGTGTAGCTCGTTTCCTGTATCTCTGCTGCTTCTGCTGCTGTTTGACTCTTTCTGTTAAGACTGTTGGTTTCACAGATATGGAGTTTCTGATGACAGAGGCAACTTACAAACTTCTTATTTTATGCATGATACAAGGTAAGAGGGGCTTGCATTTCGACATAAAGACGTTTAATAGCTTTTGAACTGAATGACGTGAACTGATTGTTTTGTCCTATTTATTCATTTAGTCAAAAATGCATTCAAACTGCAATTTGACTTAAATGCACGACTCCTGTGATGACCCTGATATCATTTCTGTGTTAAATGAATTAAGTCAAAAATTACTGAATGATACAACTGTCCTGATTTCATAATAAAAACAAAAGCATTAATTAATAATTAATTGGTGAGAGCAAAAAAAAATTAAGTATTTATTAAGCATCTCCTATTATTATTATTATTATTATTAGGGAAAAAATTAACAAAAAAAACTGCTTGAAACAAAACTGCTTCACTGCTTATTAAAATTTCAAAAACTTTAGTCCGCCAAATAAAAGTCTGGTCCAACCAACAAGCAGAAACATCCTGAAAAAAACAACAGCAAAAATGAATATTACATATAAGACCACATAAACCCTTAAAACATATCATAAAAAGTGATTTATCACAAAGCAAGTTTAGTTCAGGTTGTAAGATGCCATGTGGTGCAACAAAAAAATGTAATGATGATAAAAATGTATGTATGTATGTATGTATAAATAAACTAAACTATGTCTTATAATACATAACTATTTTTTAAATGATTAGAATAGGCTCACTCAAGATGAAGATATAACACAGGGTTCATTTAAATAGATCCAAATAGGCAACCAACATAAAAGACAGCTTGTAAACATAACCACGAACAATGCCAGACAACTGAAGAGTGTACAAGGAGGTACTTCAATACATGGTGGTGAAGACAATATATGAACAGCTGTGATGATTAGTGTTAGTGTCCCTAGTGACTAATAAAAACAAACAACAAACTGAACATAACGGTGACACACTCACATGCATAAAAATACATAACAGTCTTAATAAATGCTTAAAACAATAAATAAATCAACTTTTATCTTGCGATATATTTTTAAATCATGATTAAAAATGTACAAAAAACGTAAGAAATATATCTAAAAATAAAATTAAATGTAATGAAATTATACTACAGAATCAGATGACACTGAACTTTTTATAATGCCTTAAAGGGATACTCCACTTTTTTTGGAAATAGGGTCATTTTACCACTCCCGAGTTAAACAGTTGAGTTTTACCATTTTCAAATCCATTCAGATGATTTTCTGATTTTTAGAAGAATATCAGTAGCCAGACAGTTTCTGGTCTCATTGACTTCCCTAGTAGGAGAAAAATATACTATGGAAGTCAATGAGACCAAACTGTCTGTTTAGTGATATTCTTCTAAATATCAAAAAAATCGGCTGAATACATTCGAAAACAGTGAAACCCAACTGTTTAACTCTGGGGGAGTGGTAAAATTAGCCTATTTCCTAAAAAAGTGGAGTATCCCTTTAAAGGTGAAAGCTTGTCAATCTCTTAGAATAACTGAACACTGACCAATGATGCAATCTGTGGTTTCATGAAAGAAACTGATCATCACTAATGAAAATGGTTTGTCAGGAACGTACGGAATGCTTATACATCATAAAGAGTCCATTACTGCTGTGGAGGGACAGAACGTCAGTCTGCCATGCTTTGTGGGAGAGGAACATGAAATCAAAGTTATCCAACTGGAATGGCTAAAACGGCAAAAAGGAGATGAGAAGAATGAGAAGAAGATCGTGGTGTACCATCCCTCAATGCCAGCAAATTACATTCAAACCGGTCCTCTTCTGACGACGATGAACAGTTCAAAAACTGGAATGCTACAAGGCTCAGTCCTGACCCTGTATGGAGTTACCATGAAAGACAGTGGAAACTACACTTGCGAAATTACTTCTTATCCTAATGGCTCGATTAAAAGAACAACAACGCTGCAGGTCACAGGTAAAACTGCTCACGGTAACCTACATTCTCATACACTCAAAAAATGTAAAAGTGAACAAGCAGCTGCTGTCTGCTAATTTCAGAGCCTCCAGCATCAGCGAAGATGTCACATCCAAACGGATTCATAAAAGAGGGAGATAATGTGAAAATAACTTGTTCAGCAAGCCCTCCACCACTAAGATATGGACTAAGACGGTCAAAGGTGAGTCAGATTGATAAATCTAAAGTCTGTCTATACAGCTTTTGTGTTGATCTCATTCTCCTCATCAGGACAAGCTATTTTGGATGGAAAGCTTGAACGGAGAGTTCATTTTACCAAACGTCACCAGAAACAACAGCGATCTGTACATCTGTTCACCTGAATGGTCATCTGTCCAAAATCAGCAAGGTCTCAATACCACAATGGAACTGACAGTCAATTGTGAGTGTTGAGAATACATATCATTCTCTGTTAAATTAAAGCTTATGCAAGTAAACAAAATCAATTTCAAATATATCCTATTCTTCCAAACAGTTCTTGATGACATTGAGTGTAACACAAGCAGCCCCTTTAATGTCAGTTTTGGTGAGGATGTGACGATTTCTTGTATTGCAAAAGCATCTCAGTTCTTACAATATAAGTGGATGAGGGTAAGACTGAAATATTAAGAGATTGAAATTCAATATGTAAGCAGTATTGAAGCAGTTTTAAAGAAATATTTTGTGGTGTATTAACTCAGCATGCTTAAAATGACAAATTCATGTGATGATTTTTAGGATGACACATCACTGTCTCTCTCAGACACCTTGTCTCTGACTTCCGTGACATCTAACCAGTCAGGAACATACAAACTGACAGCTGTCTTTCAGGACAATCAGCTCCAGACAGACATAGAGTTTTCTATCCATGTTTTCTCAAAGCAAATCGAGGGTAAGAAAAAGCTTTATTTTCCTCTTTTTTTTGTAATTGCAATCATATGGCCCTTTCATTTTTAGCCGTGAATATGAACAGATAAAGTCCCAGTTTGCCCAGAGCAGATGCACACTAGAGTGAAAACAATAGAAAAGCTTAACGCCACCACTGAAGCCCATTATATGAATTAATTATACCTTTTGGAACAGAGGTAAACTGATCAATTTCCCTCAGTCATCATCTACAGTTTAACCAGCTGATGGTTCCCATAAGGAAAACATAAACTAAATAATCTAATGTAACAAATATCATTACTTCCTCAAGTAATCCCTCTTCCCATGTCAGAGTAATTGGGACAGTGAATAAAATAATTGAGCAAACAAATTTTATAATATAATATATTATAATAGAATTCATTTTCAAAACCACTTAAATTGTTAGTTCACCCAAAATGAAAATTATCTCATAATTTATTCACCCTCAAGCCATGTGTACAGTATATGAGTTTTTTTCTTTAAGCCAAACACAACCGGAGTTATATTTAAAGAAAATATCCTGGCTCTTCCCCTTTTAATGGGAGTGAATAGTACTTTTGAAGCCCAAAAAAGAGTATGCATTCATCATAAAAAGTAATCCAGAAGGCTCCAGGGGATTAATAAAGACCTTCTGAAGTGAAGCAATGCGTTTTTGTAAGAAAATATCCATAATTCTAACTTTATAAACTACGACGACTGGCTTACAGTAATGGCCATTCGCGAGTCGAGTTCCAGCCGAAGAGTGACCTAGTCTAACCCAATGCATAGCGTATTGATAAACGGGGAAGTGCAGAGGATCGAGACACATCAAAACACAGCGGGTCAAGAAATAGAGAATTTTAAAGAGAAATGTCAGAGGAGCTTGAGTTTGTTGCCCAGCCCTATGTTTGACCCACGAGATTAAAGTTTTTAAGGCTATTATGGATTTTTTCTTTCAAAATGCATTGTTTCGCTTCAGAAAGGATTTATTAACCCCCTAGAGCTGTGTGTATTACTTTTATGATGGATGAATGCACTTTTATGGGCTTCAAAAAACACTATTATCACTCCCATTATAAAGCTTGGAAGAGCCCGGATATTTTCTTTAATATAACTCCAGCTGTGTTTGGCTTAAAGAAAAAAGGTACTTTACACCTAGGATGGTTTTAGGGTGAGTAAATTGTGGGATAATTTTCATTTTTGAGTGAACTATCCATGAACAATTTACTCACCATGAAGCCATCCTTGGTGTACACTTGACGCACAACATAATGACGAACGCAGTTGCCCAGTCCTGTTTGTTTGAACAGCATTTGCCGTCACGCTGTGCGTCAAGTTCAAGTGTTACTCTTGTCATGTAGATCGATGCGTACGGCTGTTTGCTGGAAGCTAGTTATTTTAGTCGATAAAGTTTTAAATATGGATATAAATCATTTCACTTCAGAAGACCTTTATTAACCCCCACAAACCCGTGTCGAGCACTTTAATCATGAATGGATGCACTTTAATGGACTTCCAAAGTCATTCACTTCTATTATCAAGCTTGGAAGAGCCAGGACATTTTTTAATATAACTCTGATTGTATTCGTCTGAAAGAAGAATGTCATATACACCTGGATGGCTTCAGGGTGAGTAAATGATGGGCTATTTTTTTTTTTTGGGTGAACCTTTAACCTATGTAGGGTGGCAGGAATGCTGGAGCCTATCTCAGCGTCCCAAACTTAGGCAGGGAATCACCCAGGAAGGATTGTTATTGTTTTATATTATATTATATGTTTCATATCACATGTTTAATTTTCCCTATAATGATTGTGTTGAAGGAATGACAACACCTTCCTCAGTAACAATCAGCAAACATCTGAGGAAGTTTACCTCCATGCGAATCAGCTCATGGACCACTGGTGCTATTGAGACAACAACAGAATCTGGTCACTTCCTAACCAGCACATCAAAACCAAATGTTACCACGACAAACCTACAACCCGGACACACCAACCAAAGCACTCCTCTCACTGGCAGCCCTTCTGCTCCACCTGGTGGCAATGCATCTCCATTACACACAAGCACTGTAAAATCTACAGGCAGCTCTTGTACAGAAAATCCAAGCACACGTCCAGAAACAGTTACGGGAAGAAAAATAGTTACTTCTGTTATAACGAAGAAAAACAACTCCACCACTGTGACAACACCGGGAGGTAAATTACTCTTCTTTAAAAAAATTTATCAAAATGTAAAAACTTGCTCTGTCCCTGAAACGACTTTAATTTTCTGACGTCACATAGTTCGTATGGCCTGTGACGAGTGCCTTAAAAGTTTTGAAACATTAAATTGTTAGTTGACCTAAAAATTTAAATTCTGTTACTTTAATTAATTACTCATGTTGTTCCAAACCCATAAGACTTTCATTTATATTCAGAACTCAATTGAAGATCTTTTGGACGACATCTGAAATTTCTGTCCATTGACAGCTACGCAACTGGCACTTTGACGTTTCAAAAAGTTCATAAAACCAATCCATATGAATTGAGCAGATTAGTCCAAATTTTCTAAATGAACAGATTCGATTTAGACTTATTCGCATAAACAATAATCAGTGAACATAGAAGCTCAACTGAACCGGCTTGACGCGTGAGAACAAAACCTCATTGGTCATTGTTTCTTGCGGAAGCTCTAACATACTGCGTTACTTGGGTACATTTTATAAATGTATATTTCTTTTTAATTAATATAATACATTTTAGTACTTAGTACAAATGCTCTGCCTAACACACAACAAGCATTACACTTAAATAAAAGAACACACATTTTACAGAACCCACATATTTAATGGTATTTTAGCATGTTTGTAGTTGCATTTACGCCGTTTTGACCAGCAGGTGCCGCAAGTCTGTGGTGTTCTGAGTGCTTCAAAAGAGTGAATCATTGTGCAAAAAAATTGGTTCAAGTGATTCAGAGTTTCAAAAAGTTTTGACTCCCCCCATCTCTACCATTGTTTTCCCTTGCATCTCCCCTGCATCTTCCTATGAGCGTATAAGATTAAGAATTAGGTCTGTGTGGTCGTGTGATAGGGAAAGATAGGGACCACAATAAGAAGGCGAGAGACTAAATTTCACATGGATTAAGATTTCTGTACAACACCAAATTCTGATTCAGGTTATTACCCTCTAAATCCCCAGTATAGGTACATTTAGAAATAGGTGGGTTAGGATTAGGCAATCAGGTAGCACCTTCAATGAAATTAGTCGATTACCGGTAGTCAAAATTAGGCAAAACAATTGTAATGTATCCGGCAATCATCCTATGGATTAAATAAAAAACAAATAAATTAAATAAAAAATTCACTTGGAAATTCATCACAATACTACTAATGTCATATGTAACAAAAGTCATTGGTCATGTATTCACCTCGGTCATAGAATATTCTCTGAATTAAATTATACATTAAAACTAATTAAACTTTCATGACTCAAAACATTAACGGCCAATTTGTATTCCTTGATATATGTTGATTTTAAACAAATTGAATACACACAATGAAGTCATCTGATGTTTGTTGGCTGTAACAAGGAAACCCATAAGATGCTGTTTGATTTAAAGTGAGTGATGATTGATATCAATGTGTTGTTTTCAAAAGGACGTGCACATGACAGTATAAACAGGATATGCATTTAGGCCAAGTCTTGAGCTACTCATAAATCTATTATTGGTTGTCTTTTCCTTGCAAATCTCTCGTCTCTCTTTCAGAATCAAAAAGCACAGCATATATCGCTATTCCGATTGTATTGCTGTTGCTCGTGTTGACTGTGCTTCTATACAAAAGACACCTGAACCAAAAAAAGTGAGACTCACCAAAATCATCAGCACATCCACTGTTCTGTTACTGTACATAATTGCAACACATTTTCAGTCCATTTATCTACATTTTTACTTTTTCTTTTTCAGAATGGATATGCCACCCCCTTTCAAACCTCCTCCACCACCAGTCAAATACACATCAGTGAGGAACCATGATGTCCCCATGACTGATATTCTTGTATGAATGTGTCATGCACTTTTGCACTCATAATCTGTGGGCCACATATATACTGACTGGAAGATTTCTGATGAAAATCTTCACTCAAAATGAAAACTGTGTCATCAATTATTCATTCTCATCTCGTTCCAAACCTATAAAAGTTCTGATCATCTTCAAAACACAAATTAAGCCATTTTTAATGATGCCTGAGAGATTTATTTTCCCTCATTGAAAGCCCATGCAACCAAAATGAATGTAATCCATGGATTACTTAAATGTAATCCATACTGAGTACCGTTCTTCTACCGAAGAGAAACGGTTGCTTTAAATGATTTAGTTTATGAAAGCTCCAAAGCTCTGGAACAATCTGCCCCTGTACATCAGACAGGCTCAAACTCTTGCTGCTTTTAAATCTAGTCTTAAAACCTACTACTACTGTTTGGCTTTTGAAGCTAGGTGAGTGTTTGTATTGTCGATTGTTTGTTTCTGGCTTTTTATTTTGTGTCGTTGACTGTTTGTAGTTGTGAAATAGGATACAAGTGTACAGCACTTTGTCAAACACTTGTTGTTTTTAAAAGTGCTTTATAAATAAACTTTGACTTTGACTTATGCTTTTGTTTACATATAAACATTGATAAACACACATATACATTAAATATGTTAAAAATGTTTTTCCGAAGATTAATGAAACTCGTTCAATTTTCATTTTTCGTTTAATTATCATTCGACGCATTATTTTGTAAAAATATTAATTCAACCACATTTGTTGTGTTTTTATGTGATTTCTTTTACTGCACTTTTCCTCTGTATTTGTGTCTTTCTGAATAGGTTGTACATATAATATGTTGCTCTAAAAACAATTTGTTATTTTTTTGTAACTTTAAAAAAATGTGAAAATTGTGATTGAATTTTTACTGTGCTTTACAAACATAAAAAATGTGAAAATTGGGATTGAATTTTTACTGTGCTTTACAAACATCAAATATATTATTGAATATCTTGAGAAGTTAGCTTTACTCCTACATTGTAGCAATGTAAAAAAAATCCCTAAAATGTGTGATATTTTAAAAGAAAACAACATATGAAGATGGGTGGAGGTTGGGTCAAAAACTGGGTAAATTCCAGAAATATGAAATATGATGAGTACCTATGAAGAGAGTTTAATCAGAAAATGATCTATCATGTTCAATAGATCTGGTGGTTATCACAATGTTGACTTTTAATGCCATTACAATACAGCTGCAAAAAAAAAAAGAGAAGAAGTGAGTGCTATTATGAATCAGATACAGTAAGGACAAAAGCCTACATATTAATTTTTCCCTCATGTTGTGGCTATATGTTCTGTTAACAAAGCAAAGGCTAGCAACTGATTGATTCAGGCCTCATAAAACCACAGTTTACACCTCAGATAACCAAGCAAAACCAGCTGCCAAAACCACATCAGACAGTGACCAACAGACCTTAAAGGCCAAAATCTACAAAAACAAATGCCAACTCTCACCATTTATTATAACAGCAAAAAGTTAGGCAAAATGTGGTTTACCCCTGAGAACAAGCCTTTAATTATTAATAAGATGGAAATTATACATTTCTGATTAATAAACAGAGACATATGCCTGATATAGCGAGTGTTTATGTGTGTGTGCTTAGACAGAGAGAAAACAAGAAAGAGAGAGTACAGCGATGCTTTTTGTACTGAGTTTTGTGCATTGTGGTTCTTTGCTACAAAAGCAACACATTCACGCAGAGGGACGTTTCCTGCTCTCGCTATTGTGGTCGGAAATGGAAAATTCTGAAAAAAAGGATTTATTGCTTCAGTGTTCAGATCACCTGTATCCTGCACTGTATAATCATGCATCCAATATACTATTGCACTTCATTATGTTGAGTATTATACCAATGGTGTATGACAAAAAACAATAGTTAATTGTGAACATGAAATGTGCAACAAACTTTTTTTTTTGCCTTTGACTCAAAGTACAGTGTGATTCAAGTTCAATTGAAAAATAGCACTCTAATATCTTATCTTATATAGTGAATATTATAATAAACTGTAAGAATAAGAACACTTATGTTCATAATAAGTTTGTCTTTGACATTTTATCATATTTTAGATTGTATAATTTGTAAATGCAGAGATGTGTTACACATTCATTTGTACAAACTAGAATAACATTGCTGTATGATTACATTTTTTATTTAATTTTTTTAAGGATGTAACCAAATATTCAAGATAAGGGCGACCAAAAGTAAAATTTGAAGAATTGAAAATCTCATATTGATCAACCACTAATCTAAATATTGGTGGGGATTCATCATTCAGCCCACTAAATGTTTTGAGTCCCTGTTTGAATTCTTAATTTTCACCTAATTTTTAAAATAACAGCATAATTTTACTCACAAACAAATCAATGCAAGATTAGAAATGTATGAGCAATACACTTTAGAGTACAAATTACTGACAAATTATTATTTTCATTCAACTGATTTTACAAAATGCAAAAAACAATAAACAAATTCTAAGAAATGCATAAAAAAACATTTCACACATAATTTGTTTGAAAAAATGCAATGATAACCATTTGGATGAAATGTTTTCAATGTACATTTCAACACCAGTGAGTGGTTTATGACACTACACAATGCAGACAGTGTGTCTCTTGAGATGTGAATGTTTGCAACGAATAAGGTAGCCGTCACGTTTCCTGTTTGTAACCGAAAACGTCTAAAGACGATAAAAATAGCACGACTCTGGAGCACTTCTTGTTGAACATGCTCACGTACAGGTGAAAGGTTTTATCAGACAAGGATTTATCGGACATTTGACCCTAAAAAAGCAGGATGTTAGGTAAGAAGAAAAATTGCTTTATCACTTCTGTATGTGAACGTTCTTTGCTAACAGTATTTCATCACATCACACTGTTTAAATACAAGCTGTTTTGTTGTCTCAGTAGAGATTATTGAATAATGAAATTTAGATCATTGACTAAATTTTTAATGTAGTTTTGCACGTTTTCTTTATGGTTCTAAATCGTTTTTTGTTCTTAAAACTTAGAAGACTGATGGAATTGAAATCAAACCCTGACATATTAAACATTCTTTTGAATAATACTATAAATAATCTGCACAAAACAATCATTAATAATACAAATTTATGAATCTATCCATACTAGAAAAGTGTATTAATTATATGAGTGATAATAATTATATTGTTAAATTCATGAAATTTATTCAGTGTTATGACATGTCCGGAAACGTAACCAAATTTTTCAAATGCTCTTAATGATTTGTGCTTATATACTCTTTAAGATGATATATGAATGATATATATGATATATTATACAAATATTAAAATATGAAACTAATAAATAAATGAATGGTTAAAGAAGAAAAGAAGAAAAAAGATTTATAAGATAAAACGCCAGGCAAAATAATCACAGCTTGTAATATAAATATTATATAGGTGTAATGGGAAATTAATGCAATATTATATCAAATCATGATCTGTCATTTAACTCTCTCTTTAGATGTAAATGGATGCATGTCTGCATATGTGGCTATTTGTCTGACATCTATTGCACTGCTGATATCTGTGTCTATAAATGTTGCATTCTATTTATTAAGAAGAAAGGAAAAAAACTCAGCAGGTATGCTTCATAGTTTGACATTTACAAAACATATAAAAAATATGCATTTTAAGAAATGTATAAGTTTTAGTTCACAGTAACAAACTGCCTCTTTTTTTAATCAGCTAATGAAAACATGTTTGAATATGGAGAAGAGCCATTACGTCGAGATTCACTTCAGTCTTACAGGTGATGATCAGCACATTGTTTGAATTAAATTCATATTTTATGTAATTATGTATTCTGATTGACAGAAAAAAAGTTTTGATTTAACATGAAATAATCCTTTTCCACAGCCACAACCCTATGTAAATACATTCTGACTGTGTTGCAGGTTTGAAGATGACGAGATGGAAAGACAGGAAAATCCTATTTATGGGAATATCTGTATAGATGGAGGAGGTAGGTTTAGCTCACAAATACACCAATCAGTTTAAGTAATCCAATGTCTGTCAAGACACTATTTACTATTGATAATTAAGCTGTCATGATGACATTGCTATGCATTTAATGCTTGTTCAGGAGCTTTCGAAATGTCTCCGGAGGTGTGCTATGAACAAATGGCACAGGCAAGCACAGTAAAGCAGGGATTAAAGGTATGGTCTTCCAACAAATTACATGGAAATTGCTGACATTTGATCTACAGTACTGTCCAAAAAGTGATGTGCAGAAGAGATATTTGTTTTAATGAACCTAAGTTCAATTAATCCATCAATATATGAGTATGAGTGTGTGTGTATGTATATATATATATATATATATATATATATATATACATACATACATACATATACATGAGGTAAGAGCAAAACACTAAACCTGGTTAAGGCATTTTATCTGACAAATTTATTTGGAAAAGAAAAAGGCAAACAACTACAGCTACATGTTTTATTTTGCAAAAAAATCTAATAAAATCTGTAAAACATGCTAAACGAATATGCAGAGAAAAACAAAAAGTATACATTGACTACAACATATTTATTTTTCATTGGTTCTCTCTTGTTTTTGCATGTTCATAATTACTTTGCATGACAGTCTGGCCAAAAATGATGTCCGCACAATTGTCCGATGTCTGCACAATGGCATGTTTCATTGCATTAAAACAAATCAAACAATTGACTTTAAGCACATCTACTTTATTTATACAACTAATTTTTAATAATATTGGATAAACCGATAAAGAAGTCAATTTTCATGTGGACATCACTTTTGGCCACTACCGTAAATTAGTATGCGTGAAATATATTTAAAAAACCACAGAAACATGGATCTTCTGTACGCTTCATCACTGTTTTTTTATGAAAAAATGTGAAAAAATCTGCCCTTTACATATTTATTTTTACTTATTTATTTATTTATTTATATTTACTTTACAGTATTTATCCATTTGTTTTTGGTTAGTTATGGTTGGTTATCAGATGGCCAACCAGAAACAAATCGCACATTAAACTCTTAACAGCATTTTAACTGTAATATTTATTTTTGGGTCTCCGTTTCGTTTTATGCAGTAACTATTAAATTATACAGTTTTAAAGTAATATCTGTCACAAATTACATGTGTTGTAAGTATTTTCAACACTGAAAATATACGCTCAAAATTAAAAAGCAGAACTTCCAGTGCCGCATTGTGTGACATTTTTCATAAACACTTCAATGGCTTTATGTATAAAAATTTCAAAACCTTCACAAAGTCTGCATGAGAATGTAGCCCTGATAACTATTTTAAGCTCGCCCACCCACACATTTTACTGAAAACAGAGACGTGTGTAGAAGCAGATCTTTTAATGAACGCAGCTGTGGTCAGAGTTCTCAGACCACTCTTCAGCAGTATGTATGTCAAAGGCATCATTGTTATGCCACATTAATACCTCGCTAGCTAAACGTGAGAAATTGAGACATTTTTGGCAAGTTCAAGTCACTATGAAATCAAAATTGACAATTCTTTTTTTTAACTGCAGTGCTCATTAAAAATTATTTATTCATGCACATCATTCATTTATGTGCCCTGGTAGTCTTTAATCAATAACTCTGATGACGTGCACCCATGCAAGGCCAACAACAATCCAATCAATTCCCTATACAGTTCAACAGTCGGGTTACGGAAGTAAAAACATTTTTTCCATATAGGGAAACAGATTTTTAAACCTTCTTTAACCTTTAAACCTTTAAAGACAACCCTACTGTGAGCTACCGGGTTGGTAATAGATAGTATTGGCTTTTGTTCAACATGTTAGCCCACATTAATTCAACTTAGTTTTAAAATATTTGTGTTTAACCGTGGAATTCGTGGTGAAAAAAAGAGAGTGGCTAAAAGCAAAAGTGGCAAAAAACTGTTTAGCTCCACCTACTCCCATGATGCTCCCATGATGCAATTAATCTACCTAGTCTCAAAATAGTAAAATATTTGAATATATATAGATATTTTGCAATTAACATTATATATAAAATTGTTATTGTTAAATTTCTCTCTCTCTATATATATATATATATATATATATAATCAACATTTTAAAATTAGCTTTATATTATTCAATTATTTTTTTTAATCAATTATGCTGTCCGCAATGCTTCATGGGATTGTAAATGTCTTGTCTGATTTAAAAAAAAAATCACATCAAAGTTTGTAATGTTATGAATCACCTTGTAGCTGATTGGCTTGGTTCATGGGTTATAACGTTTTAAAAAATATTTAAAATCCCTATGGGAGAAATTCATGGAAAAAATACTTACAAAAACAGATGCTGCTGAAAAAGTGCGGACAAAATCAATTCTACCCTCATTTTTTTTCACTAGGATATACATCACAATTTCGAAGAAAAGTTGATTTGAACTTCTGTTTCATCCTGACTTTAAAACCTGACTTTTGCACTATTTCCATACTAAAATCAGATATGCAAGATTTCATAGCGCAGGTTTACAATCTGAGACTTCGAGAAAGCTATTTACCCGTATTGCGTAACTTATTGCAAAATTCTTTTGATGACCTTTGTTATCTTGCAATTTAACCTGAATGCCAAAATGAGGCAAGGTTTTTTTCCACTGCATTGAATGTGTTAGATCATGAAAATACAGCTTAGGTTTGTTATTATCTCACAGGTCCAGCAGGGGGATGTGTCCTACGCCTCTCTGGATCTGACTGTCAATAAGAAGCGTAAGAAAAAGAGAAAATATCAAAAACAGGCTCAGGCTCACCAAGCCCAGACGCATCCTCAACCCGCATCCCAGCAGAATTACATGGACCATGATAACGAGGCGGATGTCACCCTCCCGTCCCGGAGCAGCAGCCTCATGGTTTCACGTCACAGTATCTACCTCAACAGTCATCAAGTAGCCCTGGAGGCAGAAGAGAGGGAGAGAGAAAAAATGATGGAAATGGAAAGAAATGAAAATGGAGAAAGGGAGTTTGAGATGCACGAAGGCTTTGATCACTCCCTCGGTAGATCAAGACAAAGTCTAAAACAGGACAGTTAACATTGTTAGAGTTAAAAGAAGTCTTTAGCATCTTAAGAGATTAAACACAGGAAACTGTGGGGTGGTGCTGTCAACAGTATTTAAAGCACATGGTTCACACTCCAAATTATAATCTTTTCTCTGTGCAAAAGCCATCAGAAGAGACCAGCTATCCGCTCTGAAATTGCGACCAATTGAGACACATTTAAATAAGTTTACCACTTTAAATGTGCTTTCTTGTTTCTTGCCTTTAAAGGGATACCCCACTTTTTTTGGAAATAGGCTCATTTTACCACTCCCTCAAAGTTAAACAGTTGGGTTTTACCGTTTTCGAATGTATTCAGCCGCTTTTTTGATATTTAGAAGAATATCAGTAGCCAGACAGATTCTGGTCTCATTGACTTCCATAGTATATTTTTTTCCTACTATGGAAGTCAAGAGACCAGAAACTGTCTACTGATATTCTTCTAAATATAAGAAAATCGTCTGAATGGATTTGAAAATGGTAAAACTCAACTGTTTAACTCTGGGGGAGTGGTAAAATGAGCCTATTTCCAAAAAAAAGGTGGAGGGCTCACAGTTTTGGTCTGTTATGTTGTTCTAATCCACATAGACAACGAGGAATATGTAAACATATATTTAATCAGCTTGTTTCTTGCTATCATTTAGATTTTCAAGACAAAAAATAAAATTATGTTTTATATGAGTGAGTTTTTTTTTTCTTTGAAAGCTTTGAAGAATGTATGAAGATGTAAAAATTTACCATAAAATGACATAACGGTACCACAAAATGACCATGAAATTCTCTCACTTTGTTTTGCTATTGACTCAAATGACAACAACATAAATGACAGATAGATTATTGAACGTTTCTTCTTACACTCTCTAGCTACTTGTAATTTAAAAAAAAAGAAAGAAAGAATTTAAAAGGTCTTCTTTTTTGCTCATTTCACATACCGACATGAAGGCCAGGAAAACTGCTTCAGCACAAACTCACTACAGACCTCTGGGCTTGCAAACTTTCCGCAATAAATCATGACGTAACGCTCCTGTGGTCACGTGATTTAAAACATGGCCGCGCGCTGCTGAAAGTCATGCGATTGCTCTTCTACTGTCTACATCGTTTCTTATCTTAATCATTTTCAGTTGTAATATATTTGCACTTATTTAGACGTTTCACTTGATATATACGGCCAACAGTATTGTCATGGACCCCGACGGTCAGCTACGAAATGTAAGTAACGTTATGGAAGTCCGTTCATATGTGTGAATATGGCCATGTTTTTTCCATATATATATGTTTATTTTTTGTATTCTAATATGTTTGTGATTTTATTATTCTGTTTTTGTGAACTAGTTGCGGGACTTCCTCCTCGTTTATAATCGCATGACAGAAATCTGCTTTCAGCGATGCACAAGCAATTTCAACTACAGAAATCTGACAATGGATGAGGTGAGGCAAATATGATTTATAATAAGTGTATTTAGGGTTTTAATACAATGAAAGCTTTATGCACAGCTGCACTACTTCCTGAACTTAAGCCAGCTCCTTGTTTTCTGTCTGTCATTATTGGACAAATTGATTAATCCAGGTGTGCCTGACCTCAGTAGTCATGGCAACAATAATCAGACACACCTGAATTAATCAAGTTCGGCCAATAATGGCAGACAGACAGAAAACAAGGAGCTGGCTTAAGTTCAGGAAGTAGTGCAGCTGTGCATAAGGTCAAGAGATGTGTGAGATTTTTCATTAATTAATTTTCTGCCGTTAACATTTACATAAAAAGTATGTATTTATTACACATACTAACGTCATTAGGCACAAAACAAAAAGGAGCCAGATTTGAAATAAAATAGACTCATGAGCAAAAATACAAATCAGTACACCACTAAAATATGAAAAATTGACAGAGTTGCATACAATTTCTGCATTTCTTCGAAGCGTGTTAAATTAAAATGATTTCAGACTTTAAATTATATTTTAATTTGCAATCATTTGTAAGTATTCGAAACATAAAATCATGTGACAAATTCATGACGAAATAAAGAAGAGTCTTTGCATTTCCTTTATTTCCATTCTGTAAATTAAAATAATTTGTATTGAGGGGAGTTCGGCTTGAACTGCCAATAGAATAAAGGCCCATTCACCAAAGACAACTAAGATAACAATAAAGATATAGTTCTAAACATCGTTCTCAATATTAAATTACGGCAGCGTTCACACTACCACAGTTATAAAAATAACGGCACAGAGAAATTATATGACTGGAATTACTTTCAGATGATTTTTATCCTGCTGATGAACAATTAAAACATTGACAGCCAATCAGAATCATTCCTGCTATAATGAGCTCCAGCATTTAAAGTGACCAACAAACATGCGCTTGGAATAAATAGAATGATCCGCTGGTGTGGAGGCTAATATAGTTCTCTTTAGTTATCGTTTTTGGTGTGAACGGGCCTTAAAAAACGTATTATGCTGAATGTAGTGCACATTGAGCCACTTCTGAAATTATACATAAATTCACTATGACATTCATATAAAGCTTCTTTTCCCCTTGTTTTTCTTTTTTACCAGGAGCGTTGTGTGGACAGTTGTGCTAGTAAGTTAATAAGGACCAATCACCGTTTAATGGGCACGTATGTGCAGCTGATGCCTGCGATGGTGCAGAAGCGGATGCAGGAGATGGAGAGCAAAGCTGCAGAAGTAGATAAAGCTGAAGTGGCATTAGAAAACCCATCTACTGTCATCACAGACACATACACAGAGTCTCCATCAACCCTGGAGATACCAGCCACATCCTCTTCAGTGGTGGGGATGCCCTCAACCACAACACCAATGCTTGAAAGTCTGCAAATACCTTCATCTCCCAATAATCCATCAGATATTGAGACATCATCGATAAATGACTCGGCTTTGGGGGAAATGCAGTCAGAGGGACTAGTAACACCATCAGCAGTGATCTCAGCATCTTCTAGTGTACCTAAAGTAGGTCCCATCTTAAGTGCAGTGGATCAACTCAATCTGAAGGCCACCAGTGTAACATCCACATCAGTCCCTGAAACATGGTCTGCAGGGGGAGCAGGACAGACCCCCCAAACTCCATCTTGATGGCAATGTGCAGAGATGATATGTCTAGATGTTGTTTATGCTGCATATTCAGTCTTAACAACCAAATTTAGAAGCAGAAGCCTTTTAAGACTGTTGATCATTTTCAGTGGAATGGGTTTCATAAATATTTAAATACCTCTATTACAACGTTGAATAATGGTGCTCTAAATAAAATACAACATGTGGAAACTAAAGAGCCATTATTTTTTATTAAATCTGTATTTTTTTTTTTATTTTTTTTTTTTGGTTCATTATTAAGTATCATGTGTGGCGGATGTTGGTGAGCCTGGGTCAGATCAGTTTGAGTTTTATTAAATGCAATTTGTTTACAGTAAAGAATACACAACATCATTATTTTGGTTTAATAAACTTTATTTAAACTTTAGTTTGGAGTTAAGTGCGAACACTCTTTAACGTTTAGTTTAAGTTTATTCTTACCGTTCTTTTTGTGTGTTTGTTTGGCACGTCTGAGTCCCGTGAGCTGGTGCACCATCAAAGGGGGTTCGAGATGAAACATCGGACATATATATATGGTTCCGGCCGATGATCGGCCTATGGCCACCATCTATGATCGCCACAACCATTCCGGTTTCTGCTCCGGGGGAACTCCAGCTTAAAAATGTTATACATTAAATACATTTACTGTTTTCATTTGAATTTTTGTTTAAGTTTAAGTCATTTTTTAGTGTTTCTGTTTTTGTCAGTTTTTTAAAAAATATGTTAAACAGTTATTATTCATTTTATTTTAGTTTTAGTTAGTTTTGTTATTTTAGTTCGTAGAGTTAAACTAAATGAAAAATAAATAAGGTTGCTTTGGAAATTAAAAATAGGTTGCTTTTGGAAGTTTAATTAAATATATACCGGTATATTTTATTTAAGTTATGCTTTTAGTTTTGGTTAATAATAATACCCCTGATTTAAATTGCCATTTTTTCTAAATCTGGGATGGTTTGTTCATTTATTTATTTAATGAAATAATTAATTAATACGCTACAAAATGACTATTTTATTGTAGAACAGGTAACTTATTCTAGCAGGCTTTACGGTCGTCATCTGCCATAGTACGTTTCTGCGTGTGTAGAAGAACGCAATCATTTTATTCACCTCTGATGTAACAGAAAGGACAATGGAAATTTTCTAACTTTGGGCTGATGTGTGGTAATTTCGTGTAAATAAAAAAAATAATAATATTATTAATCATAATCTCAACCAACCATAGAGATCTCAACTCTCAAGCACAGTTCTGAAAACCATGTCCCGAGGCGCATGTTTTTCTCATTCTCCAGCCGAGGGCGCTAAAGGGACGTGTTCTGCGGGGAATGAGTGAGTGTCTGTCGGTGGGGAGGAGATCACAGACTCGGGCTCTAGTAGGGTGTGGACGGTGGAAGAGTGTCGGTCCGGACTGTCCCAGTCATAACCGTTGGTCCACTCCAGCTGAAAGCGGTCACATAAACAGGTAATTGTGGTTGTTATGATCGATTGAGTGTAAAGGAAGCATGAATCGAGTGTTGATCGTGAAGTTCAGTGACTGTGGGCGTAACGTTATATGACTGCTAGCAGTGCGCTAATACGCTATTGTCCAAGACAAAACTACCAACGTTACTGAATAGCCATAAATAAAATGTAGAGTGAAAATAAATCAATTGTTCATGAGTAAATACATTATAATTCATATCGTGTTTTTTTCTTATTATTCTTCTTTCGGTTCACCCATAATTAGGAGTCTTTATACTCTTTGAATGGAGTGTCTGTTAGCTACGCGGCTAATGTCAGTTTTATTGAGAGAACAGATGTTACCTGTTTTTCTATCTGTCTGCTACAAATACTATCTTGCTATCTATCTTTCTCTCTGTCTTCTTGAACAAATACCCATCTGTTTCTGTTTGAAAACATATCTATAGATCTGACCTGTAACTTATCTATCTGTCAGTCTGTATATCTACAGTATGTGTGTCCCATTCCATTAGAATACTTGCCTCTCGTCAGAACATAACGTTGTCTGTGTTCACTCGCTCAGTCTATCATTCTAACTGTCTGCCTGCCTGTTTGAACTTTTAAAGGGGTGGTTGATTGTGATTTCGCTTTTTTTTTTTCATTTTAAGTAGTGTGTAATGTAATGTTGCTGATAAAGACTATATAGATACAGTCTTTTAAAAACCAAGAAGTTTAGTGGCTACAAAAACGACTCGATAGGACTACAACGAGATACTTCCCGGGTTTTATACGTAACTAACCCATAAATTTACATCAACCCTCCCTCCGGATTATGCAAAAAAAGTGGGCATGGCCATATTTCTGCGTCTTTATCAAAGAGGAAGAGTGTCGCCATGCCGTTTAAAGTGTGTTATTTTCACCCAGCTGTCGGGTATTCTGTGTTCAGTCTTCCTAGTTCTTACTTATGCCGTAGTTCGTCAACTATAGCTAAAATTTGTGTTTTATTGTGTTCCTGAAAATTACAATCGTAATTTAGCGCTCTGTGCTGCGCATTTTACGGAAGACAGCTTGCAGAATCTCCACGAATTAAATTCAACCAGTTCCATTTATTCCATTATATTAAATGTTTAATCAGGAGAAAACCGTATCTCAAAAGCTAACTAGCAGTAGTAGCGTTTTCAAGTAACAGCGGATCGAAATTCTTATATAATAATAGTAAAATAGAATAGAAATAATAAAAAAAAAATGTACAAAAATGTTCAGAAACGTTCTATAAGGGCCGTGTTTCGCGAGGTTCTGCTTGACTCTTTTCATCGCCGCTTTCTGGGTCTGATTCTGGCTCAAACTGATACAGCAGTATCAACACCATTATTTACACCGGAGCACATGCAACTTCCACCCATAAAGGGTGAAAGTTGCATGTGCTCCAGAAAGTTGCATCTGCTCCTGTTTCTGAGTGGTTTCATAGGAAGTCAACCGGTCATTCAAATGACAGAGGATAAAGCGGCTTACAATAAAGAAATGTATGAAAAATAAGGCTTAAAAAAAAAAACCAACAACAAAGACGTGTTATATTCCACCCCATAAACGCAATCATGCAAAGAAAAAAAAAAAAGCAGTAAACCACCCCTTTAATTTTGTCCCCATGCATACCAGCCTGTTTTTCTTCTATTTTGTTATCTGTCAGTTTAAACAGTATCTGTCAGACATCTACCTGCCATCTGTTAGAACATAAAACTATCTTTTTGAATATAGACCTGTAGGCCTATGTCTGTCTGTCAAATTTTACTCATCTTTCTATGATTCTTAACTATCATGTTTACCTTTCAGTGTCTTTGTGATTAAATTCATATTTAACTGAATCAATATCAGCCTGCTTTTATCTAATTTGTCTGTCATTTTCTGTCTCTCCAGTTTCCCAACTCAAACATTATCACCAAAGTATACAGTGCATGATGGTTTAATGAGAAATAGCTTCTTAAATGTATTTGACGCAGTTTCCTTTTTGTTTAATAAATAAATGTGACATCAACTTAAAGTCTCTAATTAAACTGAAACAGACACAGAAGTAGCTTTTCGGGAGTATGATGGGTCTTTGCGAAGAGTGATGATGTCAGAGTATTAAAGAAACACATTCTGTTGACAGAGGGATGTTTTGGACTCAGTGAGGGAGTGTTATGTATGTTATAACAAGCTGAGACCTGCATGATTACATGGGTAATCACCTAGGCTATCACCACTTAATGAACTATTTTTTTTTACCTGAAACAAAAATCTACCTTCGGGTACAAATAAAGTAACTTGAACTTGAATCTACACATCTAAATTCTCCACCGGCAGCCATTCTTTGTTTTAAACGAATTCAACCCAACCCACCTTATTTGGTGACATGGAGGATTGTTACAGTTGATCATCTGTCCATCATCGTATAAAGCTTCCCCTGACAATTTTGATTGGTCTCAAACAGCTTTGGTTCAGGCATACTTGCATCATAACGGATCAAATCCAAACCGAACTTCCCATCCTCAAATGTTGTGGGCGGGGCTAAGTTCGGCTGGCATCCAGGCTACCAATTTTGTGCATAAGTTAAATTCCCAATTTGGATGGAAACATAGCTATTGACATATAAGAGTGTCCATGGTTAAAGAAAGAAAATCTACTTTCAATAATTTTGTTTTCTTCTTCATAATATCAGGATCATGTAGACTTTATTCCCCGTCCAAAAAACATAGTAACTGTGCCTTCAAGTCCTGTGTATGAATTGCATGTATTTATTTGAATAAATGAATAAAAAAAAGTCAAGACTGAGCATCATGCCATTGAGCCTCACCCTTTCGTTTTTGGCTGGCTACTTGTAATTTTTCTGCTTCTTGTCATTGTTCCCTAGTTACTTGGACTGTGACAGTGTGTTTGTTTTGTGCAAGCTTCGGACACCTCATCTGAGCTTCCTTCTTGTTTCTACGCAAGTGCAGCGCAGACACTTGCTCTGAGGCAGTGAAGAGACTGTCCCAACACACCCTTTCCCTGATTGGATGTTCTGTGTCAGCCCTCACCTGTCGGCTTCAGGGTACAGCTGCATCAGACGCCTCTCCCAGGACACTACCGGTAGGGAACGAACGATTCCGGTAGTGTGAGAGGAGAGAAGGTGCCGAGATGGATGACATCTTCACTCAATGCCGGGAAGGCAATGCGGTAGCTGTCCGCCTCTGGTTGGACAACACAGAAAATGACCTAAACCAGGGGTGAGTATGAATTTAGTCAGAGCTGTTATTATTAGGTGGATTCCAGTGTGGTTATTAGCTGTTATTACCTTCATTTCTTATTCAAACGGGTAGGGGAGGATACTTGGAGGCCACGGCCTCTAAAAACTTTGCGAAACTTGGATTGTATTGTAAAGAAAATGTCCTGTTTACTTAGTGCACACATGGAGAAGGATCTTCTGTAAAGGCTTGTCCCTTAGTTCACCCCTTGCACTTTTATCTGTCTTTTAATCCCTGGGTGCAGTGGCTCAGAGAGACGATGTGGGTAGATGTTATCACTTTTCATCTGTTGTGGATTTCATTCAGTTATTTGGCCTGTCGTGGCGTACACGGCTTATATTTCAATCAGATGGTTTTGAAGCATTAAAGGGTTAGTTCACCCAAAAATGAAAATTCTGTCAGTATTTACTCACCCTCATGTTGTTCCAACCCCGTAAGACCTTCGTTTATCTTCGGAACACAAATTAAGATATTTCTCGATATAAGATCGCTCCTGCATACTAGTCCATTGGCTTCTTGAGGGAATGACTTGCTGTCCTCGAAAAGTAATTAAAGACATCGTTAAAATAGTCCAAGTGACTAGATCAAACGACGAGAACACTTTTGTGCGCAAAAAAACAACAAAAATAACGACTTTATTTCAACTATTCGTTTATTTCTCCCTCTGCGCAAGTCAGGTTACTAGTTTAATAGCGTAAGCTTCTGTTATTGTACGTCACACGCATCACACACATGACCAGCGTCGGCCAATAGTGAGCCTACGTGTGACGTAGTTTACGCGTAGTTTATCTCACTACGTTAACTGACTACAGGCCCATAGAGACTGAAGTAAATAGTTGAAATAAAGTCGTTATTTTTGTTTGTTTTTGCGCACAAAGTATTCTCGTCGTTTGATAAAGTTAAAATTGAGCCACTGTAGTCACTTGGACTATTTTAACGATGTCTTTAATGAATTTTCTATGCCAGCAAGAGTCATTCCCTCAAGAAGCCTATGGACTAGTATGCAGGAGCGATCTTAATATCTTTAATATCTTAATGTGTTCCGAAGATGAATGAAGGTCTTACGGGGTTGGAACAGCATGAGGGTGAGTAAATACTGACAGAATTTTCGTTTTTTGATGAACTAACCCTTTAAGGAGATTCGGTATTAGTATATTACTCTTGTTCTCTTGTAGCATATAAAATGATTGATTTCATTTTGTATTTTTTGTTATTATCAGGTTATTTAGAGTTGTCAAAAAGTACAGACTTCGGTACCAAGTCGGTACTGAAAGTTAAAAATGTGATCACAGACATATATGTTTAGCGCGTGAACACCAATCAGAGATGTTTAAGAATCTGTTCAACAGCGCTTAAAATGTTAGAGGGAAATGCTGGAATAGTCACTTTTTTTAATATCAGTACCAAATTCGGTACTTTTGACAACTAGTCATAATATTATTTTTAGTTAATATTAGTCATCAGTTATGGAGCATATTATTAAATCATGGTTGGAGAATGTTAATATAGCACATTCCTTTTGTGGTAAACTCATCATGGTTAGCATAGGTTTAAAGAAATACAATCTAAAATATCCTGTCTATGTCTTCTAAACGAAATGAAAAACATTCCACACGTGTTAAAGACCAGAATTTCACTTCTATCCCTATATGGTGCAAAGCATACACAGAGTTGATCCACGCACCCTCTTCAAATACCTCCATCTCTGCCAAGCTCCCTCTCACAAAACAGCCTTGGCTTTCCTTCCTTTACTAATACATCCCAGAACAGCTGAGCAGCACGAAAGAGAGAGAGAAAAAAAAATCTCAGGTGGATCATTCTTGTAAGGAATTTGATTGGACCTGCATCTCTTGCTGTCAGCCACAAGAGTTATTACCTGACAGGAACTGTTCGGAGACTAATGGTTCGCCGGGGCTGATTCAGCTCAAAATCAGCAGATTGCAGGCAGCGGCTAGTTTAGATAATTCATTTAGGGAGGCGTGGCGTCATGTCCGATGTAGATCACAATCGAGGCATTTCCTGTGCTCTTCACATGGCTGAAGTTGTGACTGTAAGGAGATGTTTGACTTACTGGCTTGAAAAACAGACAGCAGGGGAAAATACCAACTCCGGTTGGTATTTTTTTAGAGAAACCCTTCTTATGTTAGTGCTCTCATTGTCTGCTATATGTCAATTCCCTACTCTAAACATCAGCTGATCTTTTACAAACCTGTGTGAGTAGGAGTCTGTCTAATTTGTGACTCAAATAAGAGGGGGAGGAGAGAATGGTCTGGGCTTAAACTAAATGGTTAGGACGAATAGTTTCCATACGATGAGCTCACCAAGCAAAGCATGCTGACTTGAGCCATACCAGTCCTCTCTGTGTCGCTGCTCTCTCTCTCTCTCTCTTTCTTTCTCACTCCCTCTCTTCTTACCCATCTCAAAGTGTTTTCCTTTTCCAGAAATAGAAAAACTCCAGCGAAGGGATTTGTCTTTTGCTTTAGCCGGTCGAGAATTGCCTAATGAAATGATTCCTCTGCTAAGAAGGGGGGGGGGATGTGTGATTCAATTTTTTTTAAGGGCCATGAAGAATTTTAGCATGGCTTCAGATGTCACGACCCTACGCTTTTGTGGGAGGAGACAGGAAATTGCAGACATACATGGGTGTAGTTTATGCTTCGCATTACAGCATGTCAGTCAACAAACTGAACTTTGTTTAATGTCCATCTTAACTGATGTAGATGTTTCCATGGAAATGTCCTTTTTGGCCATACCTGAAGTCTTCATTTAAGTTGATTTTGAAATTGTTGGTCTTATTTGTTTAGCTTTAAAAATCAGTGTGAAATGAAAATTGACATTATTTTACTCACTATGATTATTAGTATCTAAAAAATTACTCCACTTTTGAAATTATCTTCCTGATCAACTGAAGGGAAAATAATGTTAAGCAATTTCCCAAAAAGCTACAGTATGGTACAGGCTCTAGACATTTTCAAATTGAAATAACTGATGAAAATATTTTTTTGATGCAGAGCTTTTTTAATTTAGTCAAGAAATGCAAATATTAAAAAAAAAAAAAAAGTATTATTACAGTAATAAAACCGCAAGAAAAGTTTAGAAAAAGGTTTCCTCAAATCTCAGCTGACAAGATTTTTCTGTTTCAGTTATATTGGTAAATCTTTCATATGCAAAATTATAAATCGGTATTAAACAAAATGTCCGACCAAACAAATTTTACAACAATTTGAAAAATAAAATGTATTGTCATTTGACTTTTAAAAATGTAATTTATTGTAAAACATTCATTACAAAGGTCAAGTTTTGATGTAATTTGAATTACAACAAATTAACTGATAAATCGTATTTACTTAGAGAAATTCATTTCATAATCATTTAGAACACAAATATGTATTAAATTAAAAACGGTCTATTTTGATTTCATGTAAACTTTAAAGCTCAACAGTTGGACAAGGGTATTAATACATATTTTTTTTAATATCAATAAATGTAATTTTTCAAATTTCCAAATTTGGCCTAAGATTGTACTGGCATGTTTTTAGAATTTTGCATAATATTTTTAACTAAAATGTACAATAATAAAAAATTGAAATAATATGACTAAATATTGAGTAACAAGTTCTCTGACTTTCTGTATGTAGTTCTGTACTCTTGCAAATTAACTTTTTTGGAGGGGTCTTGTGTGCAGTGTAATTTGCTGTGTTACACCACCTATGTTTCAAGTTGTTTTGAAGGTCGGATATCCGTATCACACACAAGTTTTGCATCTGTGCTTCTCTAGTGAATGTCATTTTAAGCTGACTGAGTAAGCTCTCAAAGAGGAACTAACACTTTCTGTGGATGTTTTTCATTCTTGAAGTCTGGACATGACTCAGAGATGCAAATGATGGTAGAAGAAACTAAATGCCAGGTTACAGCTGTCTTTGTCTCTGTGGCTTTAAAACAGACACCGAATCTGCTGCAGCTCGAGCCAATCAGAAGCACATTTCGAAAATCAGTTACTATTATGCTAAATGCTTCCTGTATTTTAACTTCTTATTTTTAGCCGCACCGTCTAAAAATAGAACATCCTTTTTGATGTGCGGTTTGAATCAGAAAGTACCTTTTAGATGTCCAGCGATATTATCTGCCCAGTTTCAGTTACATTTCCTGTAACATACCTCAATTTGGCCCACTTCACTAGCCTGCAAGCTCAGATATGTTTATAGACCATGGCGCCTCACTGATGTGTGGCTCATGATCTAATTCAGTATGAGCTTCACTCAACCAGATTACTCCACCAGTGCTGAAAGCCAGAAACCTGAACTCAGATGTGTGGAGTGGCACGGTTAAATCATCGCCTTCTGCAACTCCAGAATGCTTTTTGGCCGAAGGAAACTCTTTAATAAGAGAGCTTTTCAACTCTTTGATCGTATAACCGCAGACTTGAGACGAAATCTTTCAACTGTGTGACTCAGTATCAATGTTTACATAGTCTGTCGTTTGTAAGTCGGTTAGTGTAAACGTTCCTTTCTGTCTTTCTCTGTGTGTGTGTACGTGCTTGTTAACAGTGCATGCTTCACGTCCTTACAAGGACAAGGGAAAGTGACTGGGCATGAGTTGAGCAGGCAAAGGAAGAGATCTTGTTGAATCTCATTTCCTGGTGTTCCCGCTTCGGTTTGTTCAGCCCTGGCCTTTGCTGCTTTATTAGTGTGATGATGCGCTCTGACACTCTGACCAGCTTTCCTTCCCTCATTCTCCTTCTGTCTTTGCTTTTCCCGCTTCCTTGCGTTTTTCCTACTAATTTTTTCTTTTCTTTCTTTCCTTGTACTTCCGTGTGATTTTCTTGCTAATTTCTTTCTTTCTTTTTTTTTCATTTCCCCTCCTTCCATTCTTTCCTTTTTTGTCCCATTTTCTTCCTTTTCCACTTTGTTCTTCCCCCCTTTCTTAATTGCTTCCTTTCCAACTTTCTTCCCGTCTTTCACAGTTTCTTCCTTTTATGATTCTTCCTTTCACACTTCCTTTGTTTGCCTCTTTCTTTTACATTTCATTTTTTACTTTCTTTCTTCTCCGTTTCCTTTCTGTCCAATTTTCTTCCTTTTCTGCTGTACTTTCTTTATTCCTACCTTTTCCTTTTATTTCCTTTTTTTCTTCTTCTTTTAAAGAAGTCATCCAAGATGTCCATGTCTTTCTTTCATCAGTCGAAAAAAAAATTAAGGTTTTTGATGAAAATATTCCAGGATTTTTCTCCATATAATGCACTTCACTGGGAACCAAATGGTTCAAGGTCCAAATGAGAGTTTCAGTGCAAACTGCAAACTGTTCAAAGGGCTTTAAACGATTCCAGACGATGAAAAAGGGTCTTGTATAACGAAACGATTGGTCATTTCAAACATAAATAACAAAGTTTAAGTTTTATAAGCTCAAATGCTCGCCTCGCCTTGCTCTGTTCTGTGATGCAAGTTTGTGACTCTCCGGTTCGAACTCGTTCATCAAAATGAACTAATCTTTTTTCTAGTCATTTGGTTCATTCAACAAACGAAATGAACGAATTGACTCGGAAAAATATTCGTTCATTTTGCTTCCCAGTAAAGTGCAATATATGGAGAAAAATCCTGGAATATTTTCATCAAAAACCTTAATTTCTTTTCAACTAAAGAAAGAAAGACATGGACATCTTGGATGACATGGGGGTGAGTAAATTATCAGCAAAAGAGTTTTTTTTTTTTTTCACATTTCTTTCCTTGAAATGTGCCGCTTGGCCGGAAATAATGAACATTCCGGAATTCCCTTTGGGAAGCTCATGTAGGATTCCAATCCACTTTAATGAATTGATTTATTGGGGGCAGGGGTTCTTCCTCTTTATTTATCTTTATTTTTGGTTTGTTGTTTTTCTCTTTAACCCCTTCAGCTGTGGCCAAACTTGACTCGGTGCGTGCGTGTGTGTGTGGTCTGTTCCGGCAGGAACTTGTGAGAAGTTTCAGCAGCTCTCCCTAAGTTTAGCCACACTACTGGCCTGACTATTTATCCAGAGGCTTCCTACTGTCCTGCACACACCCAGCTCTTCAACAAACACTTCATTACAACTGATCTCTGTGGGGATGAGCATAACCAGCTACACACTTTACCTTTGTAACACTTTCACAGCAGTTGCGTTCAGTGGTTTTAATAGTAAAAACCTGAAGTGGATCAGTTCACGTGAGCCGTCAGATCACTCTGTTGTTATTGTAACTTGTTATTGTGTGACTGTCGACTTGAAGAAAGTGCGAGTTTTACTGCGTTTTTGAAAAGGAAATAGGAAGGCCTGAGAACGGATCTCGGACTCGAACTCGAACAGCGGGGGGTGGGGGGTGTACATAATCTAGAGGAAAGGGCCAGTTAACGGCTGTTTATATTTAACTGGCTGGAGACAGACAGCTGAGAGAGAGAACACTAGCCTGACTGGAGACGGTTTACAGCCAACCACTGCTTTAAAAATACTGCCTTGATATAAAGGGACAGCTCACCCAAAAATGAAACTACTGACATCATTTCCCTACCTGTGTGCACTCCAAAAATATTGGTTTTAACAAACAAGCTTAATGTGATGCATATCTGTCCTTTATACATAAATGAAACGGGTCAGATATTATATTATTTTAAATGCAATTTAAGTACGTACATTAATCTTATATTTAGGCATAAATATTTTTTTGAGTGTGACTTTAAGTATTGATGTGATAATTATGACTTGCTACTGACTCGTCTGCTGACATATGTTTGTTTCTCGCAGGGATGATCACGGGTTCAGTCCGTTGCACTGGGCGTGCCGTGAGGGTCGTTCGGGTGTCGTGGATATGCTCATCATGAGAGGGGCGCGCATCAATGTCATGAACCGCGGCGACGACACACCCCTGCACCTGGCTGCGAGCCACGGCCACCGTGACATTCTGGCCAAGGTGCGAACAGAACGTAGTGGATATAAACGCTCACTTACACATTCACACATCTGCACCTGAACAACCACAGTGACCACAACGGTCATGGAAAGGTGTAAACAAACACACAGCTGCAAACAGAAGCTCCCAGAGTTATAAATACTTCCACACACAAACTTTAAACCTTTAAATGGACAATGTGCATTTTTATGCCTTTTAGTTCTTTAAACAGATTTTAAATGGATGATTTGTGTTTTTGTTCTGGATACTGAATCATCTTGTGGTTTGTGTTGTCTAGCTCATCCAGTGTAAAGCAGATACCAATGCGGCAAACGAGCACGGCAACACCCCTCTCCATTATGCTTGCTTCTGGGCCCATGACCTGGTGGCTGAGGTTAGTCTAAAGTGCCCTCTGCTGGCAAAAATTTGAAATTCTGCATTGTTTTGAAAATATGTCAGTTGGTAGAGGGGGATCAATAGCTGTTTTTCATGTAATTATAATAAATGGGGACAAGAGCTTTGAAAAACACTCTCGGAGGTCATAAACAGATAACGGGTCCGGAACTATGTAATTACAATCGTTCTTTGATATATAAAAGTCCTGATGGAACATTAACAGTCAAATGTGGCATCATTACAAAGCATAGACCCTCAACGTTTCACACAAAATCATAATTTAAAAATGTATTTTACATATTATTTGAATGTTTAAATTCCCGTATAAAAAGTATGCATGTCTATGAATTTTAATATTTTTAGTATTGATCATATTTGATTGAAATAGTGCACACAAGTCTTCTGAATCCATACAATAGCTTTTTGTTGGGAAAGAAAGTATTTGAATTGATTTTCATCTGTGGAACACAACTAAAGATATTTCGCAGAATGTCTAATTTTGGTCTGTCTCTCACATAAAGCTTTAGTTTGGTTTCAGAAGACTCGGAATATAGTCCTAAGTGATTACAGTCATATTAACCACTTTTGTGTTTTTATTTTTTTTATTTACATCATTTTTGGAGCTCTTTAGTGCCAAAAACTTAAACGATAATTAGAAATGTTGACTTGGCAACTAAAATAAAAACACTGAAGTACTAAAATTATTAAAACTGAAACTGGGGTAAATATATATATATATATAATGCATTTAACAAAATGACTAAAACTTACTGAAATTAAAATGAAAACTAAAACTATACAATAAAAGCCAATACAAAAAATTCTAAAAATAAATGAAATTCATTTAAAACAGTATATAAATAATAGTAAAATAACACTGATGGAAAAAGGCAACCACTACATTTTTTTTCTTTAATATTTGATTGGAAATAATGAAAATGTTTAAAAATTGGCATTCAGTAGTTTACAAAACATAATAATTTACAGGATTTCCATGCTTTTTGGAAAATTATGTAATTTGATTTGAGTAATTTGCAGATTTTGGAAAAGTATGGAAAAATATCCCGTATTCAGTTTTCTAAAATATAAAATTAAGAATTTCTAAAAATAGATCATACAAGCAAAGTAATTTCATGGTAAAATGTATGTATCGTTTAGTGTTTGTAAAACACAACTGAATAAATTCAAGTTGCACATTTTCATTATGCAAAACTGTTTGTCTTTAACATATGCAAGTCTCTTTTCAACTTTACTAAATTAATGTGTGTATGCCACTCAAACCAGCAACAAATAAAAGAGCAAACCATCATTTCATTCATACTGTACTTTGGCGATTGCGCAAACTCAAACCACGATTACAGTGTCAAACGTGAATATGCAGGTTATAAAGCATTTTTGGTTTCTTCTCATCATGCAAGTGCTAATATTTACAGTTGATTGTACTTTATACCAAATATAATTCTACATGAACCACTTGCGTTAAACGCGGTCTTACCAAAAAAAAAAAAATATGGAAAAATATGGAATTTTGAAATTGATCCCTGAATTGAGTTTCTGTTGTACCCGATATATGATTGTATATCTTATCTCCAGGATTTGGTCAATAACGGTGCTCAGGTGAGCATCTGCAACAAATATGGTGAAACTCCACTGGACAAGGCCAAACCACCGCTTGCTGCAAATCTGAAAGGTGAACACTCTTATTTACTAAATGTAGCAAATGTGACGTCAGCAAGTAGATTTGTTGGAGGATTGTTTGCTTACATTGTGAAGCTTCAAAGATTTGTTTCTGTAATAATATGTTGCGTCAGGCCTAATAATTCTGTTTTGTTTATGAATCAGAGCTGGCGGAGAAACAGGGACAGAGCCTGTCCAAAGTTCCTTTCAAGGACTCTTTCTGGAAGGGAACCACTCGAACTCGACCACGTAAGTGCCCTCAGAACATCTGACTCTCATTTGTATTCATAACGCAGATGCTTTGGCAAACAGGCCTTTTATTGTCATTCAGTTTAACTGTATATAGGTTGCAATATAAGATGATTTGAATTATCCACAATAAAGGTTTAATTGTGTATTTTTTTTTTCATGATGTCTGCAGGTAACGGCACACTAAACAAAACCGCAGGCATAGATTATAAGCAGCTCTCCATGTTGGCCAAGATCAACGAGAATCACTCTGGGGAGGTGAGCTCATTTACCAAAGTAAACCACAATAGCTACCCAAACCATGTCTCAGAGCGTTTATGGAAACACTGATGTCTCTCTCTGGCAGCTGTGGCAGGGCCGCTGGCAGGGCACAGAGATTGTGATCAAGATGCTTCATGTGCGGGACTGGACTACTCGAAAGAGCCGTGACTTCAATGAGGAGTATCCTAAACTAAGGTGATGAACCGCCAGTCCAATGTGTCCAGATTACACAGATTAAAGGGAATGAATTCTGTCATCATATACTCATTCCAAATCAGGGTTTTTATTGTTGCCTAAAATTAAAACAAAACTATTTCTTTAATATTTTTATACTTTATCATTTATATTATTTTTTAACAAGTAAAGAAACTTATTTTATTTCAGCTATTTGTCAAGGAAACATTTCTCTTTTTCATTTAGTTTTACTTGATGTACTAAAATAGCAATCTAAAACATTTTTATGAAATAAAAAAATCATAAAAACTATATGACTAAATGGACATATAAAATTAAATATGATAAAAATACACAAAATTCGCCACGAGGGGTTGCTAACCTCTTACAATAACACAGGGGTAGGGTCGGGTGACAAGTGAAAATTCCGGGACAGACAATTATTTTAAATAGGAATTTCTCTGAAATTAAAAATCTTTGGGATGTTGTAATACACAACTGCATGAAATATATCACACTGTGCAAGTGATTTTTGGATATTTTTACAGTTGTTTGGCACCACTGACTTCCATAGTATTATATTCAATGGTGCCACACAACTGTTTGGTTCCAATCGTTCGTCAAAATATCTTCCTTTGTGTTCAGCAGAAGAAAAAAACTCGTACAGGTTTGCAACATTTTTAGGGTGACTAAATGATGACAGATTTTCCAGTTTTGGGTGGAGTATCTCTTTAAAGGAGTAGTTCACTTTAAAAAAAAACTTTTGCTGATAATTTACTCACCCCCATGTCATCCAAGCTATCCATGTCATTCTTTCTTCAGTCGAAAAGAAATTAAGAAATTATTCTTATCACTTGATAAGACCCTTATTTATCGCCTGGAATCGTTTAAAGCCCTTTGAACCGTTTGGTTCCCATTGAAGTCCATTATATGGAGAAAAATCCTGGAATGTTTTCATCAAAAACCTTAATTTCTTTTCGACTGAAGAAAGAATGACGTGGATATCTTGGATGACATGGGTGTGAGTAAATTATCAGCAAAAATTTTTTTTAAAGTGAACTACTCCTTTAAGGCTTACAATAGCGTGATGTGACAAACATCAGTTAAGTTGTCTTTCACCAATAAGCTTCTGCTTCATTTAGCTGTTAACTGCTGCAACCGGATTATTAAAATCATTCAGACTGGTTTTGTGAACTGAATCCACAGATTTATTATAAAGATCAGACTCAAAAGAGTGATTAGTTCACAAGTCAAGCTGATTCTGAACTACTGTAGGAGTACCACATTATCTCATTCAATTCTCTTGAAATAAAACGAAAAATTATTTTGTGTTTTCTATTTATTTTTATTTTTTTACAAGAGTGAGTGTTTGTAACCATAATTGTGCAGATGTATACATCTATTATGTTGGTGTGTCAAGTTGTCAACCAGATTCAATTATCAAAATATCAATACCAAAGGGAACAAAGGGAAAAGTCTAGGTGAACTATTTTATTCCAAAAGAGAGGGCAGTCCTGACCTGTGAAATGTCTCCATCGTGTTAGTGGTCTGTTGTATCTGTGTGTTCATGTGTCCCGTTTCCCCTACTGTAGAATCTTCTCCCACCCCAATGTGTTGCCCATGCTGGGGGCGTGTCAAGCTCCGCCCGCCCCTCATCCAATTATAATTACACACTGGATGCCCTATGGCTCCCTGTACAATGTGCTTCACGAGGGGACCAGTGAGTAAAACACACATTACTGTCTCACTCAAATCATGTGGTGTATGTCTGCTTCATGTGAATGTTTAATGTTGAAAGTATGCTTAAGTGCTCTTTCAATTCTGGACATTCTGGAGTTATATTTACTTATGCAGAGTCTTTCTTAAACCTTCTCTTGTATTCTCTTCTTTCTCTTGTCAATTTAGACTTTGTTGTGGATCAGACGCAGGCTGTGAAGTTTGGCCTAGATATAGCATGTGGAATGGCTTTCCTGCACACACTGGAGCCCATGATCCCTCGGCATTATCTCAACAGCAAGAGTGTCATGGTGAGCAACGGAAAGCAAACGTTTCCCACTTATCTTGGTTTCTACAACTGTGGGGTTTTCCAGTGTGTCTATTCCTGTCTTTTCTACTAGGCGACATGAGCTTTGCTGTAGATTCATTTCCCCCAGACATTCATTACTCAATGTTAACCAGTCAATGCAAAATACAACTTTGTTTACTTGCTGTCATGGTATGTGGAACTGATTCACTGGAACTTGCCCTCCACAAATTTAGTCTCACAACAGGAACTGCTGTAGACAGTCTTAGTTCTCTGTGAAACTAGTTTCCCGTTTATTTAGAACAGGAACAGGTTTATATGAAGCAAAAACAGTGAGCTCGGCCTAAATAACAGTTTCATGCTCCGTTATCCTAATGAATCTGTTCTCATTGATTCACTGACATCAGATTGACGAGGATATGACGGCCAGGATAAGCATGGCAGATGTGAAGTTCTCCTTCCAGTGTCCCGGCAGGATGTACTCTCCCGCATGGGTTGCACCTGAAGGTATCAATCCTCTCCTTCACTCTCAAAATACTTTCAAACTTTCACAAAAATGTCACTTTATCCAATATATCAGTCTAATGTATGGTCACATTTGCAAAGGCCAAAAAGTCCATTGTCAATAGAAGTCACTTTCAAACCAAGCAGGTTTGTGTTGATGAACGCGGAAAATCTACATGACTAATGTTGTGAAGAATGTGAGGGAAAACACTTCGCCTGTGAAAACTTGCAGAACAACAATAAATGTAATCTTAAACTGGATCAATCAGTTTTGATCCACTGATACCTAAACACCTCCCTCCACATCTCCTCTCAGCCCTACAGAAGAAGCCCGAGGAGATAAACCGGCGCTCTGCGGACATGTGGAGCTTCGCCGTGTTGCTCTGGGAGCTCGTCACCAGAGAGGTGCCGTTCGCTGACCTCTCGAACATGGAGATCGGCATGAAGGTGAGATGGATTCCACCATATGCACCTGACTTTCCACGCAAGAGCCAAACCAAACACCCTTATTCCTATTCTCCCCACTAGGTGGCACTAGAGGGACTGCGGCCCACCATCCCACCGGGCATCTCCCCCCACATCTGCAAGCTAATGAAGATCTGCATGAACGAGGACCCCGCCAAGAGGCCCAAATTTGACATGATCGTGCCCATCCTAGAGAAGATGCAAGACAAATGAAACCGCCCTGCAAACACTGAGTTCACAGTATTGCCTTAAAATTCACCACTCACCAAAGTGCTCTATGCCACTGTAGCCCTCTGCTAAAGAAAAAAAACGCTTTGTGGAAGCGCTGATGAACATTTTTTTAAAGCCACGTTCTCACTGTCTTATATTCTTACATGCAATCAGTGAAGATGACAAGTGTTTGTGCATATATGTGTTCATCTGTCCTTTTTGGTGTTTTCTGGACGCTCCTCTCAGAACCCTGTTTTCTATAGCCATTAAACAAGAAGTGGCGGCAACGGTCTTTGGACGCAGTGAATGTACAGTGAAATCAGTTTTCAACTAACCACTCCCACATTTTCTGCATCTTTTCGCTCCATTTGTGTCATTTTCACTCCATCAAAGGGACGCCACCAAACTCAAAATCTGTATTATTTGCAAGTGTGCATGCATCAGCCGCTGTTAGTATTTAAAGCATCGTGCCATTGTCTTTCAACTATGTGTTTGCTTTAGATTGTCCTGATCACAAAAGTCCTATAGGCTAAGTTTGCCTGAGATTTATCTGTTTTTAAAAATAAAAAAGCAGTGCAATAATGCAATAGCTAATGCCAATTTTATGCCTTATCATGCAACAAAAAAAATCAAACTATTAAGTGCCCGTAATATCACGATTGTACAGTCCCTCTCATAGCAGGGAAATACATTTAATAAAAAAAAACCTGATGTTTGATTAAGGTACCATATGCTTAAAGGAAGAGCCATTTACACGTCACATCAAATGTGAGAATGTTTGTGTCACAGATATCTGTAATTCTAGCTCCCATAAACCTATATATTTTCTTGATCCATACAAATGCATGATTTCTGCATCCTCTGTTATGTGACTAACATGCCTCCGGCTCCTGTATTCTAATTTACATTGTACATGTTAAGCATGTTACGTGCTGAAATATCTGAGAGATTTTTATACTTGTTATACATGTGTTTTTTTTCATGGGCGATACATTAGGCTGCCCATGAGTGCCTTTATTTTTTGCTTTTCTAAACACTACATCTATTCACTTCCTTGTTTTGCTTTCACAATGTTCCACTTATCCGCTCACCAGTATGCAATAGGAAAACCAAGAGACAGAAACAAGCATACTTGACTTTTTTTTTTTTTTTTTTTTTAGTTTCAGTGTTTCTTTTTTATGTTTTGAAAAGCAAATAGCGGTGATAATGAAAAAAAGACTAGTTATCTAACTTATGCTTACTTCTTTCTCACCCTGTGAGGTTTTTAATGAAACTTAATTCTTTATTTTGGAGATTTGGACTGTTTATATTTTATTCATGATAACTAAAGTTTACTAAAAGAAAATAAGAACAAATAAAATGTTTTGGCCATGCAAAGTGTTTTGATCTGTGTTCATTTATCAGTCAGAAAATAAATGAGTGGGTTGTTGACATGAAAATTGACAACAGTGTTTTGCGATGTAAGTTACTTCTAAATAAAAAACTTATTTAAAAAATTAACCTGCACAAAATTGTATTTGTTGTTGAGGATCTAAAGGGGTCATGGTTTTGGTTTTCTTGTCACATACATAAATTATCAAAATTCCTTCATTTTGGTCATGGACAATTTTTCATTAATCAATACTATTTTTAAACTAAATTTCTACATGTTTTTAGCTATATATATATATATATATATATATATATATTTCTTTTTTCTTTTTTTTTTTTTTTTTATAAAGTCTCTTGATAATTATACCACCTGGACGTTTTAACCCCGTCAAAAATATAAACAATATTTTGATTTTTTTTTATTTATTTTTTTATCTTAATTTAATTTTTTTTTTTTTTATTTAACAGTTCCGGACAAAGAATCAGCTTCACGTCGTTGTCCTATATACTAAAATATACAAATATATTATAAATAAAACTGTCATGTTTACAAAAGCAGTAAGGCACGTGACTAGAAGCTTTGGCCGCACCATGTCACGTGATCAGTGAGCTGACGCTATATAAACACTTCAGGACAGGTTTGCTCGGGTCGCAGTACAGTTGTGCTGAGGGCAGACAGACAATTGGTTCTTCAAAACACATTTTAGATATTCACAGCTGCTTAAAAATAAAAATTATTCGAGATATTCCGAGGCTTGTTTTATTTATTCCGAGCGTAACCATTTCTTTCTCCTAGTCTGTTCAAGAACAAACACGTTTTCCTGGAGTCGTTACAGACTGTTTATGCAACGTTAATGACGGGGAACTGAAGTTATAGTTTACCGCAGTGTCGCAGCCAGGATGAAGCGTCCAGGTTTCGGGTTGTCCACCTTCAGCGGTGTCTTCGTGGTCTGGACATTGTTTTCGGTGCTTATTGTCTTCTCATACCCTCTTGAAGGTGATCAAGAGGCGCACGAGCTGCGGTTCGTGGAGGAGTTTGATCGGTTGAAGCTCGGGTTCAGCTGGCACAACATGTCCTGCGCGGTGTGTAAAGCGATCTTCGCCACGGTTGACATCGCGCTGCTGGTGAGACACGTACTTTTACGCTGTTAACATGATGTTATGCCTGTTTTACTCCCCTGGCTTTCTTGTTGTAATAAAGGTTGTCTTGTTTTAGAGAGCTGAAAGTGAAGTGTTCACACAGTTCGCTTTTGTTCAGTATGAAATTCGTTGAGCTTGCCTGCCTGTCATTATAGGCCAAAATGTTGAAATGTGTATATTTATGTTCTTGCAACTAAATAAAAAAAAATAATAAACTTGCCTTGCCTTGCCTTCTAGTAGGCTAATAATAGTAGAATTAGTCATAAATAATCACATATATACATGGACACATTTATTTTAAAGCATATTTATATTATATGCATTAATATAAATTTTTTTTAAATAACTAAAATTGTTTAAATTTACTTTTTTTTTACATTCTTTATATTTTATATATAATATTAATGTTATAATATATCTTGTATGTACGTTTGTATGTGTATATATTTAGACAATTTTTCCAATAATTAAATACAATTTATTTTCGTTATATACATTAAAGTGAAAAGTACATTAAACTAAAGGCACATTCGAAATATATTTAAATACATATTTATACATAATTTTGTTTGCTTGTTTGCTATTCTAAATAGATAATTGTAATTCTCTAACCTCAAATACACCTGTAAAAAATCATTTGACGTTTTTGATCGGTCCATTAAAATAAAGAGTGGCAAGTATTAAGTTCTGTGCTTCCTTTATGACCAGAGTGACTCAAACAAGGAGCGTGTGGCCCATGTTCTGGGAGATGCCTGTGTCCGACTGCACCTCGCTGATCCAGATGTATGCCGAGAGATCACTGAGCTCTTCCGAGAAGATTTCATCCGTGCGCTGCAGGAGTCCTTCCTCTGGCCCACAGAGGCTTGCGCTCTGCTGGTTGGACCTGCGTGTGGCCATTTTGATATTTATGCCCCCTGGAATGTATCCCTGCCACAGGTCCCCAAACCCCCAATTAAACCACACACCCCTCCCAAACCAGGCTCTCCACAGAGCAGGATCCTGTTCCTCACAGATATCCACTGGGATGCGGAGTACGCTCAAGGCAGCCTTGTGGATTGTAAGAAGCCACTGTGCTGTCGGAATGACTCCGGAAGGGCCAGTTGGAAGCACAGTGGAGCCGGATACTGGGGCACATATGGCAAATGTGACCTGCCTCTACGCACAGTGGAGAATCTCCTCCAAACCGTAGCCAAATCCGGCCCATGGGATTGGGTGTACTGGACAGGAGACATCCCAGCACACAACGTCTGGTCTCAGTCCCGGAAACAACAGCTGAACGAGCTCACCGTCATCACTAGACTGATACTCAAACACCTGGGGCCTAATGTAACCGTGTACCCATCTGTGGGGAATCACGAGAGCACGCCGGTGAATAGTTTCCCACCTCCGTTTGTACATGGGAATCGGTCGTCCCGCTGGCTGTATGACACTATGGCGAAGGAGTGGGCATCCTGGCTTCCTGAGGAAGCGCTCGAGACCTTACGGTAAAGTACTGATGGAAAGACTGTATCACACTCTGATATAAATCTGAGTTTTGTCACTCATAAATACATAAAATAATATCCACATAAGACCGTTGTTGTTGTAACTAATTGTTTTTTATTATTATTACATCCTAATTTGTAGCTTAATATTTTAAATTCATTACTGCATAGATAAATCTGTGATTTTCACATTTATAGTTTTATAATAAAAATAATAAATATTCATTATTTGTATTATTTATGACTTATTTTCTGTGAGCTTAATATTTTAAATGCAAAATAGTAGTAGTATCATTGTTTTTGCTATGATTAATTATTATTATTATTATTATTAGACCCAATTTATTATCATATTGTAGCTAAATATTTTAAATGCAATAGCATAGAAGGATGGCCTACATTTCTGGTGTTTTCACTCTTACTGTTTAAAAATATTAATTATATATTAATAATAAATGGTTTATAAATAATAAACCATATTAATCTATTTATTGATATTGTTTAATTATTAATTTAATTATTACTTGTATATATTTTTACAGCTTTATTTTTAAATGCAATACTACAGATACATTGGTGTTTTATTACTCCTACATTTTAATTATTATTATTATTATTATAATATTTTAAATGCAAACAAACGGTTTGTTTTAATTGTTTGTTTGTCTGTTTTGTGTTCTCCAGCCTTGGAGGGTTCTACACTGTGGAAATTCAGCGTGGTTTGAGGCTGGTGTCTCTGAACATGAACTTTTGTGCACGAGAGAACTACTGGCTGATGGTGAACTCCACAGACCCGGCCGATCAGCTGCAGTGGCTCATTCACATACTACAAGAGTCTGAGAACAAGGGAGAGAAGGTCAGAGAACTTTACAGAACTCGAGAAACAAATAAGATGTTCTCTGGTTGGATGTGAAAAACAGAACTGTGTTGAAGCCTTTGCATGTTGCAGCAGTTTAACAAGTTGCACTCATAGTGTTTGTGTCTGTGGGTTAGAGGTGTTTAAGCTACCAAGCAAATGGTCATGAGTCAGACCAACCAGAAGCGGATGTGTGCTGTGCAGAGTTTCAGTTTTAATTTGCAGTAGTGGCCAAAAGTTATATTTGTTTTTAATAACCCTACGAGTTTGATTTAAAGGACTTTTAAAACTAAGCTTTAAGGTATTTATCTACCATTTGGAAAATAAAGGCCAACAAATGCATATTTTTCTATAAAAAACAAAATCCTCCCAGGAAAAAGCTTACATTGACTACAACAATATTAATATTTTGCGGCTTTTCTTATGTTTTTGTATGGTCGTAATTTCTTCGTTTGATTTCAAGGCTGTCCATTGGACCGTGCAACCGGGCAGCGGAACGCGGAACGCGATTGGACCGATCAAGAACCAAAAAAAATTCTATCAACACAATTTGACGTTTCATTACATTATACATTTACATTTATTCATTTAACTGGCGCTTTTATCCAAAGCGACTTACATTAGAGGTCGCACGCCTCTGGAGCAACTAGGGGTTAAGTGTCTTGCTCAGGGACACATTGGTGTCTCACAGCGGATTCGAACTTGGGTCTCTCACAGCAAAGGCACGTGTCTTATCCACTGCGCCATCACCACCCCATTATCACAAATAAAACATTTGAATCCAAGCACAACTACACAATATGTTTGCAAAATCTTAAACCATTTTGTTAATAATATTTGAATAAAGGGTGATGTTAACAATAACCATAGGCTGGAGATCACTTTTGCCCATTACTGTATTGTAATCTATTGTTTTTACCACTAAATGTCTCATGATTTTGTAGAAGGGCCCAGGATTTTTTTTTTTTTTTTTTTTTTTTTTTCAATTTCAACCGCAAGATATTTTGTTTTGTTTGTGGTTTTGTTCAATAAGCAAACGTAAGCAGAGCTCTGTCTGGTCTCTCTCAGGTCCACATCATCGGTCACATTCCCCCGGGTCTCTGCCTGAGCAGTTGGAGTTGGAACTACTATCATATAGTCAACAGGTCAGTCCCTGTTCTGTGTGAACATTGTATAGCCCATCCTGCTGTACACAACTCGTGCACTTTCATCTGTTGTAACCCATAGCTGGGTCAACACAACTGCGTGACACAGCCTAAAGGGTTATTACACAGTGTCTTTTATGATCATAAGTGTCGTATTGTTGTGAAAATGGGTCATGTTGACTGTAACTGCCAGTTTTTGAGATAATTTTGTATTTTTTCCATATGTATCGGTAGTGCAGTGGTTAATGGTTCACTTGAGTCAACTTCACTTTAGCGATCAGCCTGGTTCCTTTCTAATCCCTTTTTTTTTTTTTTTCAGATATGAAAGCACCATAACTGGTCAGTTTTTCGGACACACTCACGTCGATGAGTTTCAGATGTTCTATGATGAGGAAACGATGACCCGTCCACTGAGTGTGGCTTTCATTGCCCCGAGTGTGACCACTTATGTTAACCTGAACCCAGGTACTTATTGAACTAGCATTTATTTAGTTTTTTTTTTTTTATAGTAGCATCTTGCTTATATTGTTTTCGCATCTAGCTTTTATATTGACTTTCTTTTGTTTTTTCTTTAGGATTTGGTTATTTTGCCTCTCTTTTATTTTATATTTAGTTATTTTTATTTTACAATCTAGTTTTATTTATTTATTTTTAATTTATTTAATTATTAATTTATTTTTAATTTATTTTATTTTAATTGATTTTCTTATTTTAAGATTACTTTATTTTAGGAATTTTCATTTAGTGGCATTGTTGTCTTTATAAAAGTTGCCGACCGCCTCTTGATGAACTTAACCATTGTAAAATTAATTTTCAGTTTTTCATGGTTTATTGCTATAACATCCTTTTTTATGGTCAGGATATCGTGTTTATTACGTGGATGGAAACTACCCAGGCAGCAGTCGCATGGTTTTGGATCACGAGACCTTTATTCTCAACCTGACTCTTGCCAACAAACGGCACTCAAAACCCTACCCCAGCCCGTCATGGACCTTGCTGTACCGTGCCTCTGAGGCCTATGGCTTGTCCACACTCTTCCCAGCGGACATGGACGGTTTGATCAAAATCATGGTGAATGATGACCGTGTCTTCCAGCGCTTCTGGTACCTCTTTCACAAAGGCCACGTGTCAAAGCCCTGCACAGACACTTGCAAGACTTCACTAATCTGTCTCCTGCACAGCGGGCGATACGACGTTTTAATGCAATGTGATGTGCTACACGGAGATAAGCACTCTTTTAGGAAGACAATGTGTTGAGAGAATATAAAAAAAATGGCCATCAAGCTCTAATGAGTTTAATACCAAACTAACCTCACAGACTTTTGATTTATTTAGCACTTTCTTTTGAATATTTTTGGTAACGTTTGTTTCATTTTGTCAAACTGTTTGATTTTTGTTCTTGTTTGCCAGTTAGCTGCTTTGCTATGGCTGTTGTTGGCATGTGGGTGTTTGGTCAAGATTGGGTTAAAGTCAGTTCTCAGAAAAAAATGTTATTTAGAGCAGTGATCTTGAGATTGAAAAGCATTACTGGTTGAAAATGGAACGGGTAATGACTTCACAACCAAGTGGTGTGTTAGTGCCTCATAAAAACCACAATTGCTCAGTCCTCATTCTCACTTAAAGGGTGTTTTGTGTCACTCGAGTGGATTGTGGTTGGTTGCCTTTTGTGTGTGTGTGTGTGTGTGTGTGTTCTCTTCCTGCATTGACCTACACTATGCACACTGGAGCCTGTTTGAGGCAAATCGTATTAGATGACAGTTTGTTGATTCAACACCAAGTCATTGAACACTGTTTCAATTGGTAGAGAAATTATGTTCTGAGGAGATTCTGTGATTTGTCACTGGCTGATAAATGATTTTCCAATCGTAGTGCGACTTTATAAATTTTATTATATGTAATTTGAAGGCCTTACTAAATAAAAAACTTTTTTGAAGTGGTTTGTTTATAGGTTTAAAATGGGTGATGATTCACTTTTCTAACTTTAGTTAGTGTGAAATGTTGCTGTTGGAGCATAAACAACATCTGCAACGTTCAAAGCAAAGGGAGATATTTTCTTTTATAGAAATCACTTTTTAAGGATTACAACAAACGGCTGGTGGTGACTACACAAGCTTCCTCCTGAGTTAGTGACATCACATCACAAACCCCAAAATTTAGATAAACCTAGCCTAACAAATGGCTCTGTGTCTTTGCTAAGAAAGAGCTCTTAAAGCTTTGCCTCTGCGTTGTGAACAGACGCTCGTTTGCATGCAAAGGGACACACAAAACAACTTTGCTCACCCTTAAAAAAGGATCATTTTAACATGCTGTAAAAAATATCTGTGGAGTATTTTGAGCTAAAACTTCACATACACACTCTGGGGACATCAGAGACATATTTTACATTTTGGAAAAGGGGCATTATACCACCATTAGGCTTTGCCATCACTGAAATTCACTACATTTACAGTAGTCAACATTTGAAGTGAACCAAACCTTTCATCAAAGTTAGCCTACATGAATTTTAGGTGCAGTGTGGGATTTTTAGCGATATCTAGCGGTTCGGTTGCGAGTTTGCACTAAGGGCTCAGCCCACTGTTCACCCCTCCCTTTTGAAGAAGCTACGGTGGCTAAAACGGGACAAACATCTCGTCGGCTGAGACAGCAGAGAATAGCCAGAGTAAGCCAAGAGTGTGTAACATTGTCACTGTTTCTGTACCACAGTCCATTATAATCCACATCATGGGTAATGTTTACAAAGCTATAGTCAGGTGAGGATCAAGGGTTTTAATATATAATTTAATATAATAATAGTAATCAGCTGATTGTCTCACAAACATAACCAGCAGCACATTTCTCCCCACATAGCAAACCCATAATACAGCGAGGGAGAAGAACCACAAGAAACTGTAGACCTTATGCACCAGAGAAACGTGGGCGCCGTCATCTTTAGAATGTTGTCTTTGAACTTCCGTTTTTGCGGTCGCTCTGTATATTTCTATGGCATCGCGGTTTAGGAGTAATTAGCTGGTGAAGTGAATTTACCTATTGTAGAGTTAACAAAAGTTATCATGAGCATTGTAATGTTTATCATAAGCATTGTAAAGCAGATGTCTTAACAAATGTCGACTGGGAATTTTTTTACGAGTAGTTCATTCATACCTATGCAAGATTGCTGTGAAAATACAGACCGGAAGTAAAAAGACAACGAGCGCAGCGCTGAAAAGGGGCGGGGCTACATAAGGTCTATACAGCTAAGTTTAGCTGGCTAATATGAGCTGTTACTGTGGACAGTACTGAACTAGTTAAAGCTTAAAGCCTTGTTTACACTCAACGCTTCTACTCTACAAGAGTCCAAAGGTGCGCGCGGCAAAAAAATGACATGATTGATTGTAACAGCGCGCGCACACACAATAGGCTTTGTTTCTCTGATTTTGAAAACTATTCGCGATCAACTTAGATCTCTTACAAGATGGTTAGTGATACCTATAACATGTTTTACGGTCAACGACATGAGTACTAATCATAGGTACTAATCAGCTGTCTCACGAACGTAACAGCACATTTATCCCATAGCAAAGTCATAACACAGCGAGGGATAACTAAGTTACATGAAACAATCCCAACTACATATTTTACACCACTGACAAGGGAAAAGTCACTACTCACGGAGTTTATGGCTAGCTTCCAACTTTCTGCTGCTCCTCTTTCAAGGTAGTGATGAAACGCGTTCGCTTGTTCGCGTTCGGCTACTGTAGAAACATGACGTCACAATATGGCGACTTTCATAGAAGAGGATTTCCGAGGTAATGTCTCATTCTAAGGTAATAAAAACATTACGGTTTATTAAGCAAGTTCTTTATACACCACTGAACACATAGTTATGGATGTCATATTGCATTTCTGTTAGTAGATACTAACTAGAAGTAACGTTAGTTCACTTTAAAAAAAAAAAAAAAACTTTTGCTGATAATTTACTCACCCCCATATCATCCAAGATGTCCATGTCATTCTTTCTTCAGTCGAAAAGAAATTAAGGTTTTTGATGAAAACATTCCAGGATTTTTCTCCATATAATTCTTTAACTGGTAACCAAACGGTTCAAGGTCCAAAAGACGATTTCAGTGCCAACTGCGAGCTGTTCAAAGGGTTTTAAACGATTCTAGACGATGAATACGAGTCTTAACAAGCGAAACGATCGCTCATTTAAAAATATATATATATATATATATATATATATATATATATATATATATATATATATATATATATATATATATATATAAAATTTAAGTTTTATAAGCTTTTGCTCTGTTCTGTGATGTGCGTTCGTGACTCTGCTGTTCGAACTCGTTCATCAAAATGAACGATTTTTTCAGTCAATTCCAAACTTGATTAATTCAGGTGTGTCTGATTATTTTTGCCGTGACTACTGAGGTCAGGCACACCTGGATTAATCAATTTGGCCAATAATGGCAGACAGCAAACAAGGAGCTGGCTTAAGTTCAGGAAGTAGTGCTGTGCATAAAGCCAATTCGTTCATTTCGTTCGTTGAATGAACCAAATGACACAAAAGAAGATTCCCTCATTTTGATAATAAATATTTACATTATGTAATTGTTTTATCCAATGTAATTATTCTAAATAATTCGCAACTCTTTTAAACCAGAAATTCTTAAACTTATAAAGCATCTCTCTCATTTAAAATACTCCTCAACACATAAATGCAGTACAGGGCAGAATCACTAGGGGTCGGTATAATGCCTGATGACAGCATGTAAACTCAAGAAATAGTCAAGTATTTTCCATGGAAGCAGGTGTTTAATATGTAAATGCATTTGAATAGTATAATTTCCTTGACAGAATTTTAAACTTTAGCCAAACATAAATAGAACCACAGTAAAAACTAAGAAAAACACATGAACAGAACATTGAAAAAAGACAAACATGGAAATACAATGGAGTGAAAATATTTTTTACAAAAATCACATTCAAATCTCAAAAAGCTATAGGTTCACGTGGAGTGTTAACATTTTCTTTAGTTTGTAGTTTTTTAGTACACCTCTCATAAAAAAAACTACAAAAATGGTCGGAGCTGTCTGAGAATGTTCTCCTCAAGGGTCTGTGAAGACCACTGTCACTCCGAAGTCTTCCTTATAGATGTCCCAGGTCTTAGATTTGTGTGGATTGTCCAGCTCCTCCCTCGAGAGATACAGTCTAGACACAAAAACATCAATGCAAAAGTCACCCCAAAAATAAAATCCCTAAATTACTGACAAAAAAACCCACCTGTTGTTCTCAACAAAAGAGGTGTTAAACCAGAAATAGAATGGACAGTCCTCGTAACCCTTTGGCAGACCCTGGACAGAGAGAAAAGGGGAAGTTCAAGTCCCAGAACCTCATTCAAACTTTCTGCCAACAGCACTTCATAAAACGCATGGGTCAATTAAATACTTAAAAATAGTGGAGGCTTACCGCACTGGACTCAAACATGACCTTCACATCTCCAGTCACAACAGGCCCTTCCTGCAAACTGATGACCACAGCATTACTACCAGTGTCAGGAAACACCTGAAAAACACACACACGACAGGATGATCAGACTGAAATGATTGGCATTTGAGCCTATTTTAGAGAACAGAAACATGCACTGAACACAACAATCCTCTCCAGCTTTGCATACTTACTGTACAGTTCTGCTGTTTAGCACAAACACCCTCGAAGACGAGCTCTCGCTTCACTATGATCTTCACCTTCAGGTCACTGCCATTGCTCCTCCCCACACCTGAACAATAACCTTGAGGTAAGCTAAAACATGCCAAAAAATCATTTCAAAGTGAACTATCCCTTTAAATTGAGTCATGCAATAGGACAATAATCCCAAGCACACCAGCAAATCTACAACAGAATGGCTGAAAAAGAAAAGATTTAAGGTGCTGCACTGGCCCAGTCAAAGTCCAGGCTTCAACATGATTGAAATGTTGCAGTGGGACTTTAAGAAAGCTGTGCATAAACAGATGCCCACAAACCTCAATGAACTAAATAAAAGTGGGCCAAAATTCCTTCACAGTGATGTGTGAGACTGATAAAGTCATATAGAAAATGATTACTTCAAGTTATTGCTGCTAAAGGTGTTTCTAAAAGCAATTTAATCCTAGGGTGTACTTAGTCTGTCACACATGCCGTCTCCATTTTGACCTTATTTTTGTTGTTCATGGTGTAATATGGCATGTTTTTGTTCATCTGAGGTTGTATTCACTCAATTGAACCCTTGTGCATCCTATGGACATTTTTGTCCTTTTCAGTTTTGTTTTTTTTGATCACTTTGCCTGTGTTAAAGCTAACTGCAAAAAACTTGGCACAGGTGTGTATTTTTTATTGGAATTTTACTATTCCACTGTCATTTTCTTAAAAAAATATTTTTTGCATTAGGTACAAAAAATACTCCCTCTCAGCACCTTTTGGACAAATGTCCCCATTGAAACCCATTAAAACGGCCATTTTTAATCCCCGGTTCAGTTGACTATAAAATTATGCAATCTTTTTTAAGAGGCTTTCATTCTGATGGCAAGGCTTCAAAATGTAATTTTTTACTATTTTTTATCAGATGGTGCCATTTTTTTTAAGTTTGGGCTATAAAACAAATATCGCTTTATTCCTGTTTTCTGGTTCGGCATATTATAGAGCCAACGGGATAAATTTTGCAACAATATGTGTGTGGGTGTGTTGGTATGGATGTCAGAGTGTGGTTAGTATGTGTGTTATAAAAAAATATGTGTGTGTGTGCGCATGTGTGTGTTTGTAATACCGAGAGAGAAAAACTGCAAATTCAAATCCAATCACTGTGAGCACCAGTGGGGTTTTGCTGGGACCCAATGGGGAAAATATGTTACTACGCCCAAACAAACTGTTACCGAAAGCTCATTTTTTGAGATATCATACTCAAATTTGGAACACAACCTATTTAGATTTATGGCTTTGATTTTATTGCAGTTTTGAGTTCAACCTGATTTATAAAATATATATTTTATATAAAATATTTTTTATAAATAATTTTCATAAACTTATACCTATATAACTTTTTTTGGATTTACTTATTATTTTTTTTACTTCAGCAATAATCTGCAAAGGGTCTTCTTTAAAATGATAACAAACTTAAGTCTGTGCTCCAAAGAGTCACATTTTTATGACAGTTTTTTGACATAGACATTTTTGTCCTCTTTTTACCTATGTGTAACTTTTTTTAATTGATGCACAAGGGTTAAAGACCCGCTAATGACCAAATAATTTTTTTATTATGTCCTGATATGTAAAAACATAGAATTGTACACCAAGGGTTTACTTTCTTTTTCACGTGACTGTATATATACATTGTCATTTTATAATGCTGATTTTCATTTAGGTATCGTGATTAATGACTGGGTCTGACCTGCGATGGAGTGGATTCGAATGCTCTTTATTTTCAGGCTCTTCTGAGGTGGTAGCTGGCGGTTGTATTGATTCTTCATGATCTCATAATAACCGACATACCTACTCTGCAAGTGCAAAAACAAACAGAACATACATCAATAAAAAAAAAAATTATCATATACATTCATTGCTCCAAAATGGATCCATGGCTTTTAATGCAGTTTCACACACCTGAGAGGGCGTTTCAACACCCTGGAACTTCGAACTCATGCTTTTATCAGTCCGTCTCTCGCCAAAGTAGTCCAAACTCTCCTGTAAGATGGTTTACAGAAAATTTAAATACAATCTTGAATGAGAAAGTCTCTACATGTCAACATTCATGACCAGATTGTACCTGCGCACTCTCAAACTGGTCACTGTCGATGAGCCATGTGCACACCATCGTCCCAGTCCGCCCTGTTGAACAAAATCCAATGCATTGAAATTTTTAGAGTGTGTTTATATACAGCATTAAAACACCATCAAACAACATACCTTTTCCTCCTTTGCAATGGATGGCGATCACATTCCTAGAGTCTGCCGCCATCCACTCCCTAACGCAGGCTGTGTACCGCAGCATATCACTGACAGGAGAACAGAGAGATTCATGACAACATGCTTGTTAGAAACTAGATTTGCCACTTCAGAAACCTGTTCTAATGTTCAGTTGTGCCGAGAGATACTTACTCGAGTGATGGCACGTTATGGTCATCTATCATAACACGCTCCACTCGATAGTGAAAGAACTTTGGATCATAGCCTTTCTCACCTAAAACAAGAATTGGCTACCATTATTATCATGCCTTTTAGAAACAGAAGAAATTATTTGAGGGTAATTAAGGTAAAGTAATCATGAAGAGAAGCGTCTACTCACTACAGAGATTAAACACCTTGTAGTGATCCAGATGTTTGGTGTCCAGGAATCGAGCCACCTCCTGAAATGTATAATTTATGTATTGATCATACAGTTGTTGCAATGTTTTCTGAACAACTTTACATCCAATTAAAATCTTCTTAAACATTTGTTTTATGTTGGTGACTTACTCTGATGGGGTTCCTATAAAGCGCCTGCTTCCCAGAAGATGGAAAAGACATGGCAATGACTCTTTCTGAAGAGAGATGAGACACTATGAGTGATGAATCACTTTGGTTTGCTTGATTTTAATGTTGTTTATAATGATCTCATCAAAAAAAAAAACAGACAAGAAGAATTAAATATCTAGATTTCTGCTGACTAAAATAAACAGCAACCAAACCTGTGACGTATGTGAGGTCCAGATCAAACCCATCTTTTTGGTACCTTCTTTTGTTCTCAGACACCTATGAAAATTATTAAATAAAATGTATTCATTTAGAACTTTTTAAACACCATACATTGTTTATATGAATAAGAGATTAAAAACATGAAAAAGGCATTTAAAATGATCTAGAAACATGAAAACCAGTGCAACAAAAAGAAAAAGATCTAAGTTTGTGACCTTATTATGCTTTTTTGGATATTACCTTAAAGGGATACTCCAATTTTTTTTTTGGAAATAGGCTCATTTTACCACTCCCCCAGAATTAAACTGTTGAGTTTTATAGTTTTTAAATCCATTCAGTCGATCTCTGATTCTGGCGGTACCACTTTTAGCATAGCTTAGCATACATCATTGAAGTGCACAGGACCGTTAGCATTTCTCAAAAAAAAAATGACCAAAGAGTTTTGATATTTTTCCTATTTAAAACTTGACTCTTCTGTAGTTAATCGTGCACTAAGACTGACGGAAAATGTAAAGTTGCGATTTTCTAGACTAATATGACTAGGAACTATTACTCTAATTCCTGCGTAATTATCAAGAAACTTTCCTGCAGTACCATGAGTGCAGCAGGCGTAATGATATGACGCAGCGCCTGAAAATAGTCCCCAGCTCGGTAACTTCCAACGTGACCGGAACTAAGTTTGTGTAGTTATGTTGACGGCGCTGAAAACACGCACTGTAAGCAGAAGACCAATCACAACAGACTGAGCCATCTGACCAATCAGAGCAGAGTAAGTTTTCGGAAAAGAGGGGTTTAGAGAGACCGAATCATTATTGAACCATTTCAGACACTGTGACAAAAGACATGATGCTGCAATGTATATTATGGTAAAATGAAAGTGTTTTTTGACCATGGATGTATGTAAACCTATTGTAGGAGACCTTCAGAACTAAATTGGGAACCTTTAAAATAGCATAATAGGGGTACTTTAATTTTAAAAAGTATAAAAAAGAATGGAAAGTATATATAAACATTGAAATAATGTGGTGTAAAACAGACCAAAAAAACACTCACAATCTGATTGGCTGAAAAGATACAAAAACAAAGATACAAAATGAGACAATTTCCTTTGTGTTTAGGTCACTCACCATTCTCCTGGTGACCTTCTCAAGCTCTTTCTTCTGAGATGCCAGTCTGAAGATACGTACCAGAATCAATATCCTCAGAGATCTCAGGAATGTGACCACCCTGCAAACACGCCATATTAACATTAGTATAATATTGGATGAAATGTAAGCATCAACCATGAATGCTTTCTTTTAAATCTGGTGTACCTGGGAATCAGGCTGGCTCCTGAGAAATCGGAGAATGCGTAGATCATGGTGACCACCAAGGTAATGGCCACAATACAAGCATCTATTATGTTCAGTTTGGAGCTGAAATACACCTTGAATCTGAGAAAGAATACGATTTAAAAATGGTTGATTAGATCCTGAGTCTGTAAAATGATACATTTGCACCAGGTTTTAATCACATTCATATATAATCAGTATTAATGCAGAGCTTGCAGACCATTTCATTTATTTTTGTGCTTGCGCTCAAGGAAAATGTTCCAGAGAGATAAAACCTCATTTTGGACAAACAGAAAGTGCCGGGAAAATGTGTTTCCTGTAGATCATTTCCTATCATGAGTGACTTGAACACACTACAGCATTATTGGTTGTTGTTAGCATTACATAAACATTATCTGCTGACTTATAGTTTGCAAAATAGTTTTGAAAAACTACTAACCCCTCCACATAGATGCGAAGCAGCACATCAATGAGGAAAAAGAAGGAAATGACAAGAGAAACAGCCTCCAGTGCACTTCCAACATCACGACTCTTGTTGGAAAGGGACAAGTCCACAATGACCAGAATAATGTCCACAATGATCAGTATTAGGCCAAAAACACTGCAAATAAGAACATAAGTCGCTTGTTGTATCATTAAAACATAGCCTAAAATCTATTTTTGGAAGAAAAATAGCTCTTTTTTTATAGGATTGTTTAGGTCCTGTGAGACGCCTCTTTATATGACACTGAAATTAAATGATCCCACTCACCGAAATCCAAAGGACATCACAAAAGGAGTTATAAATTTCCGGACACGACTGCAAAATAAATCAAACACAGAATGAGACGTAAGAATATTACTCTTAAAGAAGTAGCTCACTTTAAAAAAAAAAGTAAATAAATAAATATTTTTGCTGATGATTTACTCACCCCCATGTTATCCAAGATGTCCACGTCTTTCTTTCTTCAGTCGGAAAGAAATTAAGGTTTTTGATGAAAACGTTACAGGATTTTTCGCCATATAATGGGCTTCATTGGTACCAAACGGTTCAAGGACCAAATGAATGTTTCAGTGCAATTTCAAAGGGCTTTAAACAACACCAGGTGATGAATTATCTAGCGAAATGATCTGTAATTTCAAAATAAATAAATAAATAAAAACAAATCTTTTTGAGTCATTTGGTTAATTTGGTTAATGGACTCGAAAAAAAGATTCTTTCATTTTGATGAACGAGTTTGAACAGGAGAGTCACGAATGCGCATCACAGAACAGAGCAAGGCGAGCATTTGTGCTTATAAAACTTAAACTTTTTTTAATTTATTTTTTAAATGACCGATCGTTTTGCTAGATAAGACCCTTATTCATCGTCTGGCGTTGTTTAAAGCCCTTTGAAGCAGCACTGAAACTCTCATTTGGACCATGAACCGTTTGGTACCCAATGAAGTCCATTATATGGAGAAAATCCTGGAATGTTTTCATCATTTAATTTCTTTTCGATTGAAGAAAAGAAGACATGGACATCTTGGATGGCATGGGGGTGAGTAAATTATCAGCAAAAGTTTTTTTTTAAAGTGAACTACTCCTTTAAGCCATCACATTGTCAGCAAATTAGATGCTTACTTACTGGTATATGGTGTCTGGCTCCTCATTCTCTTCCTTTCCATCATCGATCTGCACCTCTGCCTCTTCTTTCACCCCATTACTTGGCCAACATGGTAAAATATATTTCAAACATATTACATACTGCTTGGATCATGTGATTTTAGGAGCTGGGAGTAGTGCTGAATTACTCATTTAAAGTTGGGGGAGTAAAGGTCATGATGCTGCTGAAGTGTTAGTAACGTTAATTAAATGTTATTCACTTACCCATTAACTTCCTTGGAATCTAACCCAGGGTTAAAATGTACGGATGTCATTTTTACTGGAAAGTGTCTCTCTGAAAGATTAAAAGAAATTAAACATTCCAGAGGAACTTTAGTTCAATTAAAGCTGGTATTTAATAATATATGACATTGAGACATAAAGTAGACAGGTCTAACTAACCCTAACATAACAAAAATGTACTTACTTTAGATCTATAAATCTTTAGAGGATCCACATGGAAGGTTTCAGATGTGGATTAAGAGATTTTTCTTAACCCATGAATAACTATCCCAAACGTTGTATGCAACACAAGGTTTTTACATCAACTATGAAGACCTAAATTAAATCCGACCGCATAATGTAATATAACAAGCAATTGTTTGTTCCAATCTGAACAAGATCATAGCAAAGGAATGCCAGCATTGGAAAAAAGCGATACAGACCTGACAGAAAGAAAGCGCATCCGGGAAAACTGTTTTCCTTCCTTTTGCTTGACTCGCAGCTTTTCTGCTATCTGACCAGTCACATATTCCTCAAAAAGCATTTTTGTCTCATGTCTCCATGATTGTCTTTATGAGCAGTGACAGTCCCGTGATTTTCTGCGATAACAAAGGAAGGAGGTTCAAAGGTTAGCAGTAGCCTATAACGTTAGTTTTCTTATGTCTTCCATCCACATTCACACCGCCCCTTTCTCACTCTTTTGATGCGGACGTAGCGGTTTTTAACTTCCTCATGCGCTTTACAAGTTAACCATAACACAAAATCAATTTAGACGAGTGGTAAAGGTGATAAAAAAAAAACAAAAAGGCTCACTGAGACATTATACAACATCGTAATGTTAAAGTGTGTGTGAGTGTGTGTGCGCGGGCTGAATACTTTCAACTCTACTTTTTTTCAACAATAGCACTATTTTTAGTGAAAACAGCTTTGTAAAGCAACGAAGTAATTAGTTAATTAAAAACTAAAAGTGCTTAGAAACGTAGGTCGTGTAATAATTAAAGGAACAGTCCATCCAAAAAATACAATTCGGAAAATGTTATGATTTACTCGCCCTCATATCTTTCCAAACACATAGCCAACGCTTCTTTCTTGCGTAGAACACACATGTATTTTTTAACCCCAAAACAGGCAACACTTCACTCACGTGACACATATCGTTTTTATTGCCTTTTTTTGGGGCATAAGAACGATTTTTTTCATCAAATCCTTTTATCATGGCCCGCAGCCTGGTCTTAAGTATGCTGGTCACATGATTTGCTTCAATTTTTTTTTTTTTTTTTTTTTTTTTTTTTTTTTTTTTTGTGATCAATTAATCAGCCTGACCTAACCAACATGGCTGCCAGTGGTTCAGAACATTTTAGATTTTGAGATAAGTAAATAATATGTATTAAATTAACTTTTCTTCTGAAAAAAAAGTAAGAATACTGCTAACATTAATTGTGAACATTGTCTTAAGTTGCTGAAGGAGAAAATTAAAAGAATTTGTTGCTTATGTTACAAAGCACGTTTGGAAATCTCCAGTAGCGCTATCAAGAATGCTTTGGAATAGACCTACTGTTTGTTGGTTTTGTTTTAAAGAAAACAGTCAGCAGATTATTGCTGAAGTGCTTAAAAAAATGAAAGTTTAAACTTACAGTAAATCAAGTATACTGCAGCAGGCTAATATTTTTTTCTTTTCTTATATAAAATACGTATTTTACAAAATATTTTTTAATCAAAGCCATATATCTAACCAAGATGTGTTCCAAATTTGAAGTTGATATCACAAAATAGCCACTGGGTGACTTACATTTCATTGAATTTAACTGTATGCTGTCCAAATATCACTTCTGTCACAAAATATGGAACCTTTGATACTCAGACCTTTCTGGCAATATGTGTTTTGTCAAGATTAGAGAAGGTTTTGATCATAAATTATGAAACATGACAATGCACGAAAGGGGAGGAGACCGATAAAAGAATTTAGAGTAGGCCTACCTTTTATGTTGTAAAGCAACATCCAATTTCAAAACAAGTCTCACAGGCTGAATCTTTAGTTCGCTTTCAAATGATATATCATTTGTCAACATTAGATCAGATAAAGAATGGGATATAATTGTTTTAAACATGCAGTTGCAGTAACAGTTAACAGATTAATGACTTGGTCTTTTTTTATACCCTAACCAGGCAACGTGACTCAGGAGACACAACTCATAAAATTCAAAATATATCAGATTTTTAAAAAAAAAATCATGAAAAATGATTCATGAAATAAATGTATGCTTAGCATTCTCCACTCTTGCCTGATTACGGTTTAAACGTGACGTCTCAAAAGCACCATTAACCTATGCCAAATGGCTGATGCGCAATTGTGAATCATAATTGAAGATTGTGTTTTATGCGAAACAGAAGTTCCACATAAATTATAAAGAAAACAAAATTTTTACATTGCTGGTATGTGTGGAATGGGGGAAGCATCTGACCCATAATGTGGACCAGGCGGAACCAACAGCCTATAAATATTAGAAATGAACGTCTGGAGGGCATTTCATTGACATAATCTGGAAGAGGAAAGAACACCACGTTCTGTATGTATGCATTTATATTTATTAAGCTATTTTTTAATTGATGCTACTTACTCAGGCTAGCCTAGGCTTCTTTTTGAATTCACTTATAAAAACTTTACTTTTTTATCATTAAAAAGTTCATGTTTAACGTTAATGCAAATTAAGTGGAAAGCTATGCTTGATGTTTTTATAATTATTATACTACAAAATTAACACATTTCTATGTTCATGTGAAGAATATTAAAAAATGGTCATGCCACAGCTGGTTTTTATCTTGGTGTTTCAAGCTCTTACATCACTTCAAATTTCAGTAAGTTCTCTCTTTTACCAGAATGTTTGCACAATGTCTGGACATGAAATAAATAACAAAAGAGTAATGTTTTCTATTTGTCAAGGCAGAGAAAGGATGCCAAACATCTGAAGTATCAATGCTGAAGGAAGAGATTCGTATGCTAAATAATAAATTGTTGATTGGAGAATGGAAAGTTATGCATCTGCGTGCTCACCGTCGATTCAAGCTGGTTCCCAAACTGGAACTATCACAGGAATTCAAGAATACTTCTGAAAACCACACTGAAACTTCACCAACCCTACCAAGTACTGGAGGCTCATTATTAGTTCATGACAAAGGTAAAGTTTAAACACTTATAAGTGTGCAAATGTATATTCATAATGAAACATTTTAGAGTTTTATGAACTAATTGTCGAGTTTATAACATTTTAAAAACCCATCTGTCTGTGGTCTCATGTTGCATTTCTTGCATTTTAACTTATTGCTGGGGTTAAACAGACATGTGCCTAAATGGAACAGAAAAGTATACTTTGTGTGATAAACAGAGAGTTAAAGCTTTAATAATATGTGTTTGATGGAAAAAGACAATCTCCAAATGCTTAAATCTTTGTATTATTTCTGTAATTTATACTGTATGTCCGTTAGATTGTACTGAACTATACGACAGACTAAAACCAGGAAGCGGATTTTACAGGATTAAACCCAAACCGTTACTTGAACCGGTCCTTGTGTACTGCGACATGGATGATGGCGGTGGCTGGACTGTGATTCAGAAACGGATCAATGGGAAAGTTGATTTCGACAGGTAACCTAAGAATGCACAGTCTTATGCAATGACTGTATTAGTGTATGTTTTTGCTGACCGTTTTTTTGTTCACAATCAAATCGCCATTTCTATTCACAGAAAGTGGGAAGATTATAAAAATGGATTTGGTAATTTCCAGTCAAGTAAAGATGAATTCTGGCTTGGGAATGATCATATTCATGCCCTGCTCAGCAATGGTAAGATTTGGATAATCAGTTCATCACTCTGCATTTCTGCTCTACAATAATATTTTCCAAATCCTCTTTAGGTGAAAATGTATTGAAAATTGAACTGATGGACTGGAATGGAGTGAGATCATATGCTATGTATGGTAGCATCAGAGTATCAGATGAAAAGGTATGCTGATTTTGGTTCCTATACCATTAAAGAAGTAGTTCACTTTTAAAAAAACTTTTGCTGATAATTTACTCACCCCCATGTCATCCAAGATATCCATGTCATTCTTTCTTCAGTCGAAAAGAAATGAAGGTTTTTGAAGAAAACATTCCAGGATTTTTCGCCATATAATGGACTTCAATTGGAACCAAACGGTTCAAGGTCCAAAAGACAGTTTCAGTGCAAACTGTTCAAAGGGCTTTAAACAATTTCAGATGATGAATAAGGGTCTTATCAAGCGAAACGATCACTAAAAAACAAAGTTTAAGTTTTATAAGCTCAAATGGTCACCTTGCTCTGTTCTGCGATGCGCGTTAGTGACTGTCCTGTTCGTACTCGTTTATCAAAATGAACGAATCTTTTTCCGTGTCATTTGGTTCGTTCAATGATCAAAACGAAACAAGTTGACTCTGGAAAAGATTCGTTCATTTTGATGAACGAGTTAGAACAGGAGAGTCACGAACGTGCATCACAGTACAGAGCAAGGCGACCATTTGAGCTTATAAAAATTAAACTTTTTTTTTTTTTTTTTAAATAAGCGATCGTTTCGCTTGATAAGACCCTTATTCGTCGTCTGAAATCATTTAAAGCCCTGTGAACAGTTTGCAATTTGAACTGAAACTCTCATTTGGACCTTGAACCATTTGGTTCCCATTGAAGTCCATTATATGGAGAAAATCCTGGAATGTTTTCATCAAAAACCTTAATTTCTTTCGACTGAAGAAAGAAAGACATGGACATCTTGGTTGACATGGGGGTGAGTAAATTATCAGCAAAAGTTTTTTTAAAAGTGAACAACTCCTTTAAATCTTTAATTCCAGCCTTTGAAAATGGATGAGAAGTCTCCTATTTCATCACGTACCTCTTAGCTCTCATCATTACTCCTCTGTCCTCAGGATAAATATAGGCTGCACTACGGGATGTACAGTGGTCAGGCGGGAGATGCCCTGTCCGGAGGAGCCAATATGGTGGAGCAGTGGTCAGCCTCTCATAATGGCATGCAATTCAGCACCCGGGACCAAGATCACGATCGCTACCTGCAAGGAAGCTGTGCTGCGGAGAACAGGGGAGGCTGGTGGTATAACAGGTGATGCTGAGGGCTTTCTGAAATCATTAGGTACAGCTTATCATATACTAAACACTCTTGTTTTTTGTTACCTGTTGCTTAATTACAGATGTCATGCTGCCAATCTTAATGGGAGGTTTTACAGAGGTGGAGAGTACAAAGCCAAATATGATAATGGTGTAGTGTGGGGCACATGGAGAGGACTGTGGTACTCTCTCAGACACACGGCCATGAAGCTCCGGCCCAGCTCCTACATGGACAACATAGGGAGTGGAGGAGGACCCGTGGAGTAGCAAGGCAGCTGAACAGTCTCACCGATCACATTTGTGTATTTTACAGTGCCTGTAAGACTTATTGTAGTTTATTAAACCTTTCTGGACTGCCAAAATCAAGAAAGCATCTTATTAACTGATCTTGGTCGATCCAATGCATACATTGGCTTATCGTTACAAAACATTACGATTATGATTTGATATTAATCAAAATGCTATAATTATTCTTTGTGTAAAAGGGTAAATAGTATCATAAATATTTTAACTTTGCATGCATTCATATAATAGCGATCTTAGAAAAAAGTATGTGTACCATAATAAATTAGCATCTAAAACATATTGAAAGTCTTGATTTTTGTAATGTATCTTTAACATGGTCAACAGTAAAAAGAAACATTCTGAAAATAAATTCATTACATTTACTGTACGTATATTTTCATATGTCATGCAAAAACCTGAGAATTCACATTTTCCAGTGTACAAACAAATCCAAAGGTTGTCATTCTTGTGGTATGGATGATTTCAAAAATGATCATATTAAATGCACTTGAAGTACAAGGATATAAAGTCCACATGAAGCAAAATAACCTGCTTCATTCCAATAAAGCTTTTTTTTGAGAAGTTTGAGTTTGCTTCAGGAGAGTGTCAGAACCTCCCAGAAATGCACGATGGTTTATGAATTGTTATGAAGTTTATGAATGGTCACAACTTCTACTCCATCATCCTCACCCAAGTATCCAGAAATGTCCATCATGTGCTGCTCTGATTCTGTTAGACTATATGGGGAGTTGCTGTAGTCCGCAGAGAGAGGAAGGCTGCGACAGCGACCCCTGCGCTGGTCTGAGGTAGAGAATGTGGAACTGCGTTGCCTTTGGCAGGTAGATGAATTAGCTTCTCGTAGCTTCCTGGCTAGTATGTTCCTCTGGATAGGCGAGGGACCTCTTCTGCTCCAGTTCTGTTCTGCCCGTTCAGCTCGATCCAGTGGGGAAGATGGGCTCCTGGCCACATTATGACGATCCACCAAGGGCTCTTTTGTTGGTGTCACCGGAACTGAATCTTTCGAGTTTGATTGAGATGGAGGAGTTTCAACCCATGGTCTTCTCCTGTGGTCCACTGAGCTATCAATCATTCTAGGACTGGAGCAAGACCAGACCTCAAGTTCAGGAAGCGTATGCTCCCAGGCTCTGCTTCTACAGCTCCCCTCTGGTATTTGGCGAGGAGTCACCTGGGTCATGCTTCTTTCTCGGTAGGGTCGGGACAGGGGAAACTGCTGCGGGTTGTTCTCGTGGAAACTTGAGGATCTTCTGAAATTGGGATTCTTGGAGAAGGGCACTCTACTACGCTCTACCATCTCCACCCAGTCTGCTGTGCGCTCGAGACGACGGATGTTGGCACTGAACGCAGACTTCGGTGGACCCAGCAACAAGTCCACCTTTTGTCTATCCGATAAAGCATTGTTTTTGGGAGACCACATGGGTTCTGGAAAGGGAGACTTTATGCGGAAGTGGCTGCTGCTTGACTCTTCCGGGCTGTCAAGTTCTTGGGGTGCGGGAGTTAGACCGGCAGGGGTTGAAGCCGTTGCCTCTAGCAGGGTGTCATCGACTGGACTCTGGGACACATGGTAGACTTTAGTGGCCTCTCTTAAGCCTTTCTTCTTCATTTCCTTGAGCTGCTGTTGAGCCAAGCGGTAGCCAAAAATAGGGGGAAGGATCTTTTGGCCAGAAGGAGACATTCTCTCTGGATCTTGAGAAAAGGGAAGAGGAAGGGACATGCTCTGTTGACAAGCCAACACACCTTGGTTCGAAGGTGCCTGCTTTGCAGGCAAGGTAAATCCCTTCTGTAGAGGAGCTGCCTGGAGACTTTCGGAGAAACTGGGTCTCTGCATGCTGTGACCACAGATAGAAGCTTCATCAGAGTTCTTTCGGCCACTGGGAGAGTGCAGAGAGCCACGGCGCATGGAGCTGCACTTTGGAGCACGGCAGAGTTTTCTCCACACTGTGATAAAGATGGTGGCCAGAATCACAGCCAGGCACAGGGAAATCCCAGCCACTACCACTAGATTCCCAGCTAGGGGTGTGCTTGCAGCTGGCGGTGGAGTGAGGGGTGGAGAGGGAAGCTCCTCTAAAAACAAAGACAAAAAAAAAAGGTTTGTTTAGATGTCAAAAAATAAAATAGATAAAAAAGGAAGTAAAATGTTTACCAGTGCAGTCTTCTAATGAACAGTGAGACTGCTTCTTAACCATGCCAGGGCATAGCATCCCACCACTAGAGGGCAGCAGACATTCACGGACACGCTCTCGCACCCCTTCACCACATGTCACACTACAACCACTCCATGGCTGCCACGGTCCCCACATTTCTTCAGGGCAATGTATTGGTATTGAAGAGAGAAAATACATAAAAAATACTGAATATTATACACATAAACACATTTTTTTAAATTGACAATGTAAGTAACGCTAATTCCAGATTAAAATAGCTATGTTTTGTAGATACCTGCACAACAGGTAAAAGCAGACTCACTTGTATGTCTTTGCACAATCACACAAGTTTGTGCTAAACTGGGAGCCTGACTGTAGACGAGTGTGAAATTGAAGCAGTACTTATTTCTGCCGGGTTCAAAGAAGGAGCAGTTAAACTCAGTCTCATTCTCCCCTTGCGTGAGGAAGTTGAAAGCCATGTGTGAAGACATGGCCTTGTTGTTACTCTCTTCTTTATAAAGCAGAACTTTTCCAATTGTAACTGTACAGGGAGGAGCGATTAGACGAACAGACACTGCTCCCTCACATCCACTTTTGTAAATGTTATCCACATGAAGCTTGTAGGCGAACATCTTGGACAAGTAAAGAGGACCAGAGGATTTAATGTCTTGCTGAGTGACAGGGGATTTTATGGAGATCTTGATGAAGCCACGCTCTGTCAGAGAGGACGCACATGGCATCTCCACATGTTGTGACCTAACTACTTTGATATCGTGTCTTGTCCGGTTCTGCACCTTCTCAATGGCGTTCCCCCTAATCTGGTCTTGTTCAAGGTAGCTGACGTCGAGGTGGAGAGTTGAAGTTTTGCTGCTAGAACAAGAATGGAAGTGGTCATTAGTGTACACACCTATCCTAATGCCATTAGAACTCTGGTTGTTGCTGCCACGATCCACAGCCAGATGAAAGGTGGGCCAGTGCACATGCAGAAGAGGACTCCACCACCAGATGGCACTTCTGTTAGACACGTCAAGGTTGTGCTTCTGCTCCAGTCTGAATCTGAAATTACCTGCATACAGGAAGCAGGAGCAGTTAAACTCCAGTGACCCTTCTGATTGGTTAAAGAGAATCGACCTGGAGAGCACTGTAACATTCATGTCAATGTCAATCAATGACACTGTCAGTCTGTGGTTGGTGAAGTTGCTTTCGGTGTTGTAATCCACAAACACACTGGCATTGCTCAAGGCAATGTGCATTGATGGCCAGAGGTTGATACCAGCCATCGCTATGGGAAAGAAAATATCAATTAAAACCAATTAATAGACTACAAAATGTAATGAACCTGTGTAATTAATGCGTGTCAAGGAGTCAAGAATATTCTCCTTACAAGTAGATTTTTTACACTTTCTACTTATTATTATTTTTTTTTTAGTAAACCTTGCTCATGCAAAACTTGCACTGATGCTGTAGTGGGTGGTTGCCAGAGTGTTGCTATGCATTTGCTAAGGCATTGCATAAGTGGTTGCTAGCATGCTGCAATGCAATTACAAGGCTGTTGTGTGGTTTGGTTATTTACTGGTCCAAAACTATAGAGTCCAACACTACACTCTCAGAAAAAAAGGTACAAAAGCTGTCACTGGGGCTGTACCTTTTCAAAAGGTAAACTTTTGTCCATTTTAGGTGCTAATATGTACATTTTAGGTGCTGATATGTCAATTTCAGGAGCTAATATGTCCATTTTAGGTCCTAATATGTACATTTTAGGTGCTAATATGTACATTTAGGTACTAATATGTACATTTTAGGTGCTAATATGTACATTTTAGGTGCTAATATGTCAATTTCAGGAGCTAATATGTACATTTTAGGTGCTAATATGTACATTTAGGTACTAATATGTACATTTTAAGTGTTAATATGTACATTTTAGGTGCTAATATGTCAATTTCAGGAGCTAATATGTCCATTTTAGGTCCTAATATGTACATTTTAGGTGCTAATATGTACATTTAGGTACTAATATGTACATTTTAGGTGCTAATATGTACATTTAGGTACTAATATGTACATTTTAGGTGCTAAGTACATTTTAAGTGATAGCATGTCCATTTCAGGAGCTAATATGTACATTTTAGGTGCTAATATGTCCATTTCAGGAGCTAATATGTCCATAATAGGTGCTAATATGTACATTTTAGGTACTAATATGTACATTTTAGGTGCTAATATGTCCATTTCAGGAGCTAATATGTCCATAATAGGTGCTAATATGTACATTTAGGTATGTACATTTTAGGTGCTAATATGTACATTTTAGGTGATAATATGTACCACTAAGGTACCAATAAACAGCCTTTGGGTACAAAAGTGTACCTTTTGAAAAGGTACAGCCCCAGTGACAGCTTTTGTACCTTTTTTTCTGAGAGTGATAGAGACTAGGTCTAGTGGCCCTTTTCTGGGTCAGATCACTAAAACAGCTAGATGACTGCTGCTAACTAGGCCTGGAACAAATGTAACTTTTTTGGCTTTATTGCTACTAAGTATTGCTACACACTCAGAAAACAACATAGCTGTCATTGGGGCGGTATCCTTTCAAAATGTACATCTTTGTACCAAAAGAGTGCATATACCTCAAAGGTAGGCTACATATTGGTACCAAAAGTGTATATAAAAGTGCCTAAATTATATATCAGAACTGTTTTAAAGGGTACTCTCTCAGTGATGACCTTTGTACATCTTTGGTACACTACAGCACTATTGTGATGGAGCACTCACATCAACCAGGCCATGCTTTAACTGTCCCTTAATCAGACCTGGATTAGACCTCATGGTTTGTCTCTGACATTACCAAAGATCTTCTTTTTTTTTTTTTTAATTTCAGGTTGTGCATTTAATGCCCGATGAAAATAGAAGGCATTTTAATAATAATACGTTCTCAAGTTAATAATAATAAGTTTAAGATACGTTCTACTGGAGTATAGGAACTTGGAGGCATTGTGATTTACAAACTTTGTGTGTGTGTGTGGGTCAGTTCCTGCTAAAAAAAACAAATGCATCCAGGGGAAGAGAGTGCAGGAAAAGTCAGTGACCCTCCCTTCCCCCTCCCTCCATTTTACTCTCCAACTGAACCCGACTCACCGCGGTGCACTTGAAACTGACAATCACTGATCTTCATTTAAACATTATTTTGGCATGAGTAGCAGGGAATTTGGATCATATAACTGAAAATTTGTGCCATTGTCATGATCCCTGCAGATGTAATGAGAACTAAATATTTTTTTACACCTGTTGCATTGTTTGGAGTTCCTTTCCTTTCCACAGTCACCTTTAGTTTGCTTGTTAGGGACATTATTCTCTATAAAAGCTGATTTGCAATGAAGGATGAACTTCTTTAAATGAGAGAAAGCCTTCTTACCAAATCCCAACAGGAAGAGCAGCACAAATGGGGTTGTTGTAAGGAAACCCTGTGTCATTCCGACGTATGCAGCCTCTTATTTGTCCTCATCACCCCAAACCGCTATTATTCTCTCTGTCCTGGAATAGACACAATTCAATCAGACACAAGGGATGAACCAAATACATTCATTCTCAATACCACAGTTTCACTTGACTCTTTCATTGGACTGTCAATCGGTGGAAAATGAATTTGAATATCTTCTTGATAATCTCACATTTTAACACATAGTACTACATAGACTATTCAGTAGCTTCATAGGCTATATAGGTATACACTTTCATTTCATAAAATGCGGTACACACAATGTCTTTTCTTTATTTCTTTTCAAATTATATGTCCATAAATTATTGAGCAAGCTTCAACCATGAATTTTTTATACATGTATAAATTCCATAAGTATTTTTCATTAATTACTTAATTAGCCAATACATTTTATCGTAAAAAAATAGAAATATTATATATAGGCTAAATTGTTGTTGTGACACTATATGAACAAAAAACACAAGATAAACACTTTTAGATATGTAGCCAATATAACACTGATCTATTACAAAAAAATTAATTATTTTTACGATTACACTTTATTTTAAGGTGTCGTTAATTGTTACAGTGTAATTATACATTTAAGCAGGTTGTTATTAGGCTAATTAACTACTACATGTACTTACTATAGGGTTTATATAGGATTAGTTGCATGTAATTAGGCTATGTATAATTTATAGTAGGCTAATCACTATAGGAACTATATTTAACGTAAGTAACAAAGACACTGTAAAAATAAGTATTATAAAAAAATCGTGCATTCTACCATTCTGCTAAAATTAAAAGTAGCCTAAATAACCTATATAGACGTGGATGTTAGAAGTAGTTTACTTACATTTGACATTGAGGCGGATGAATACCTTCTGTTCTTGTATCCAGAAAGATTACCGTCCGTTTTGTTTATGAGCGTTAAATGATTGAACGTCACGGAGCGGTCCTGAGACGCGTTCTCGTGAGCGCGCTCACAATTCACAGGCAGCGAGACCGTGAGCGCGCGATGTCTTGCTTCCGTTCCTCCACTGGTTGTTATTGGGGAAATTAAGTTAGGATGCGGTCTGGTCTCCACAAAAATCTATTTAGTATTTACGTCTGGCCGACGAATTATGAAGAACTGCGTTGTATAAATCTAATTCCGAGAAATGCATATTACACACGTCCATTTTCAATAGAAATCCCACCACAAAACTGTGAGAGGTTTCTGCTTGCTCAAAAACAGCCAATCCGCTACTATAGTTCATGTTACCAAACATACCGGTAAATGTCAGAAGTAAGCAGTGAATCATCTGCTTAATATAAAATACCCTCTCCTCAATAAATCTCCTCACAATAGGGAGGTCTGTCACAAGATGAACTTGACATTTCAGGTAAACTTTGAAGTTCATTAATATATTAAACTATATTTAGGAACAATCTACTCATTGTAATCTCAGTTGTCATTACTGGCTCACATGTTTTGGTGGAATAGACCATAGAAAAACAGTAGTATTAAATCCCTCAGTAATAGCAACTAGTGCCAAAATAATAATAAAAAAAAACACCAATGAAACAGAACCTAATACACCAGAAATAATCAAGAAAGATAAATGAACACTTGAAATAAAAACCAAAGACAGATTTTTTTAAAAAAAGATTAATTATTTTTATATTACGTTCCAAAATAAGTGTGGAAGACTTTATGTTTCCATTAGGGGAAAAGAAGAGTTTCAGATGAATTTTCGAATTATTTAAGCACTAACAGTTTTTTTTTTTCCTGAGTATAAAATCATAAGATTTCCTGTTTCTTTTCCACGTCTTAATGTACCTGTATATGTAATGCAAAATGACATATTTTTATTGACCATCTAACCGCATATAATGTGCTGGAATCACACACAGTATCAACATAACTGATTCCAAAGAGAAACTGCATCCTCTGCATGATCATTTCTGTAATTCCCTATTCATTAAAGGCTGTGGAAATCACTAAACATGTTACACAAAGAAGAATGCAGTTCATGAAAGACCTACTGACAAACACAGCGGAAAGTGGGTTCCCACTTGTGTCCAGAGCGAGAGCTAATCAGTTAGCAGTTCTGAGAGGGATCTGGGGCCAACAGGAGCTGAGAGCCAGCAAGGTTCGATAACATATCGGCTTCCTGCGTCAGAACAGGTTGGGATAAAATCGCAGACCTTCTACTGAATCGTCTCGGCACAAGTGACCCATTTTTTCAGCTAATAACAACCTGTAAAAGAGAATGATACATCAAAATACCGTGAAGACACTGGAGGGATGAATTATTAATGAAATAAATAAAAAGATGTCTCCTGTACCTTTCTTTCGCAAGGAGAACTGACAGTCCCAACAGCTTGGCAAACTCTTCAGCAGTGAGGGAGCCTTTCTCAGACACCTGGGAAAATCAAAAGAGAAGGAAACCTCAATTAAACCAAATGCATTCCCAATAAAACCACCGCTCCGTGTTTTTAGATTATAACAAAATCCTCATTATCACAATACACTGACTGAAGAATTTAATTTAATTATTATTTACTTATTCATAATTGTGATTTACACAAACATACAATTAAGTCCAAATAATCTAAAATACAATAGCCACAACCATGCAATATAAATATTTTACACTTTAAATACGGACAATTTACATTACCGAAATGGCCATTTTTTGGGGAAACATTGAGAAGACATAATGAAAATGACATTGCAAAGCAAACCATTTTAATAGTTACTTAATATTTTAAAGGCTTCATTTTCTTTGAGCAAAAATCTATTTTCTGATTCTTATTTTAGTGTGAAATATGACCCAGTTATGATCTTGACAGGTATACCATATCTAATAGCTGAAACGATGTAAATAGAGCAATAATTGCCATCTCATGTCAAACGATCTTCAAATGTGTGTTGTTTTTTTGAACATTCCTCTCGTTTCCCGCATCTGTCTTGGACTCTTCAGAGATGGAAATTTCTAATCTGACACGCCTCACGTTCCAGTTCTTTGACCTAAAACACCACCCCCAATCACATCTGCTAGCTGTGTCTTGTCCAAAACACTTAGAAGGTGGTTCATTTCATGCAATGTCTAGGAGAAGGAGATGGGAAGCCTCTCTCACTCTCTGACCACGAGCATTCAATGGAAGTGGACGAAATTGGCTGTACAAGTTTGTGGTCATAGATCCGATCCAATTTCCACTAATAACCCGTAATTAAACATGACAGAAAGTTTCTGCATGATGTTTGAACGGCCACGTAAGTGATTTCACAGATGGGGGAAAATGATGGCATGACACTCACGTTATCTAGAGCTGAGGCAATCATTTCCTCTTCACTGTGGGACTGGAGTTGAACAACCATCACCCCGCTGTCAAATACTCTCAACCTGACAGGGAAAGAAGAATGTGTTTTTTGTTGCTGGATATTTAAGAACTCAACAAGACATTACTACTTCATAATCTAATTGTGTGTTAGCTAACTGTGGTTTATGAGTCAAATGGTTGTTTTCTTTTGAAAGTTGTAAAATGCAGCCAACAGACAGAGGGCGGACATGGGTCCTGAAAACAGGAAGTCTGCCAGGAAGTGGCTGACCGATCCCACGCTGACCCGTCTCTGCCTACAAAGCCTGGCTCGTACAGACACATGCACATTCGTTTACGTTTACTCACGCAAACACACATTTAAATATAAATGTTCACACCCTTACCGTAGAGGAAGTTTTAGTGACTCAAACACCTTGCAGGCATTGACCAAGTCCTCTGGAGAGAGAAGCTGGGAAGAAATTTGAGAGAGATAGGTTTTTCGTCTTGAGACTGAAAGGATTTATCCAGAATGTTAAAAAAATAAATAAAAATACAATAGAACTACATAGATCTTTCTGCATAATTCATATGAGACATTTCAAATAAATGTAATGACTCTAAAAATGTATTGTGGTGAAAATATTTTCCTTACACGTGTACACATCTTATTCATTATTTTAAAAAAAAAGTTTTTAAATATATTCTACCACTTAAAGCTTAGTATGATTTTTTTTTTAAAGAAATTAAAACTTTTTTTCAGCAAGGATGCACTAAATTGATCAAAAGTCTTAGTAAAGACATTTATTATGTTACAAATTTGCATTTCTAATACATGCTGTTCTTTTGAACTTTCTAAAAAAAAATATTACAAACTTTTTTTTATTTCAAAGTAATATTTGTTAATATTTAGAATTTTTTATTTAAAAAAATAGGGTTTGTAGTCACAGCACATGGCATTTTTAACCCTAAACTAACCTTTCTATGATGATACAATGGTCAAATTATCTTTTAAATTATTTTCCCAGGATGTTGGTTGCAGAATATGAGCTTGATTATTGAACTTTTATTAATAATTAAAGCCACCAAAAGAAAAATAAATAAATAGTAAATAAAATAATAATAATATTAAAATAAATAAATAAATGAATAGATGTATATTCTGTAAATAAAAAAGACAGTAGAAAATAAAATAAGCCTTATGCCTACGTATTAATAATTTAAACGTTTAAAATCAATTTTTTGAGTTTTTTCTTATGTTAATAAAGTTAGCATTACCCAGAGATTAACCTAAAAGAGCTAGTTTGCTCTCTACTCTCCAGACTTCACTCTTAATGCTGCTTGAAGAAGATCAGGATCAGATCTGATTAACTCTATGGAACGACACACTGATTCAGCGTCTGTCTTGATTATAGCGGTCCAGATTCATCTTACCTCCATCCCACGGGCTCTGTTCACCAGACAGTACACTTCAGTGAGGGCCATCATTCCTCCACGCTCCTACAGAGACATAATAAAGATCAGTAGAGGCTGAGGAAGACTAAGGAAGAAAGGATAAAATTCACATAATGTTAGGACAAGATGCACAGCCAGCTGATCATTATCACATATTAAACCCCTACAAAATTAAGATATTTGAGATAATGATGAGCTGTACATTATCATGATTAATACTCAACCTCTCACCAAATAAATCAACAAACAGATATGAAATATTAAACTCAGTTGCAATTACGGTACTAAAAAGAATATAGATCTAGACACACACCCTCGCAAAAGTTTGGGGTCGATAAGATGTTTCTGAAGTCTCTTATTCAAGGCAAAATTTATTTGACTTTTTGATAAGCATGTTTCATAGAAATCATAGAGATGCATGCAAACACACACGGTTTATCACCTCCAGTGGGGCTTGCAGCATGTCTCCCAGCTGTTTGGCGAGTTGGATGTGGTACTGCGTGCCAGAGCCGTGCGTCTCTCTGGTCACTGGGTTGGCTATACCCATACTCAGCAAATAAGACTTGAAACGGATGGTCTGTCAGAAGGCACACAATACAAACATGACTAATTTAATTGCAGCTCTACACTAAATATATAGCCTACTAACAACACTGGGAAATTCTAACAGCTAGTTTTAGCATGTGAACTTCAACATTTCAACATTTTGCATCTACTCATTTTGACATGTGCCAAAGTTTTTTTTCCTCATCTGATTATGGACCTCTGTAATAACAGGTCATTTTCTGTCCAATAAATATTTATATGTTTCCATTTGGATGCAATCCTGCACTTAAGAAACATGCACCATATGCACTCTGATTGGTGGGTCTCAATCCTGGCTGCTTTTCAGCTCGATTCTAAGTTCTATTTGTGTCACTGTCTCATTTCCCAGCCCTTGACATCCCTGTGCAAAGAGTATTTTGCGAGCCACTGGGATTTCTGGGCTCTGTGTGGATTACACTTCTAATGTTTTCCAAGCTTTGGACTTACAGACACTCCACTGAGCCAGAGAAAATTACAAATATACATACACGATCAAATGTAATGTTTTATTCAAAAGAGAAGGATTGATATACACCCTATTAGAGGCATACCTGTGCATATATGCTAAATAAAACTAGATAGATAACTATAACAATAAATATAGCAGCTGTTATCTACATGTAATCTAAGAAAGCCTATTAACTTAAGCAGGATAAAAGCAGTAATAGACTTTGAGGAGGAAACAGCCTTATAAAAAAGGCAACAACCTCCACTTACAAGTTCATATGTGTATATACACTAGTAAATCACATGTTTGGAATCAGCAAGATAAAAGTTCTTTTATTACTTTTATTCAGCAAGAATGCTTAAATTAATCAAAAGTGACCGTAAAGACATTTATAATGTTACAAAATATTACTTTCAAATAAATTGTGTTCTTTAAAACTCTCTATTTTTTAAAGAATCCTGAAAAAAATGATCACGGTTTCAAGAAAAATATTAAGCAACATAACCGTTTCCAACATTGAAAATAATAAGAAAAGCTTCTTATTTACAAACTCAGCAAATTATAATGATTTCTGAAGGATCATGTGAAACTGAAGACTGAGTAATGATGCTGAAAATTCAGCTTTGCTATTACAGGAATAAATTACATTTAAAAAATATTCAAATCTAATACAGTTCTTATAAATTGTAATACTAATTCACAGTATTAATGTTTTTACTGTATTTTTGATCAAATAAATGCATCCTTGGTGAGAAAAAACATTTAACAAAACATAAAAAAGCTTACTGCCCCAAAAATTTAAATGGTAGTATATAAAATCCAGTATGTGATTATAGATTGGCTTATGTCAAATTTCTCAGCCAATCAAATAAACAGTGGAGTATCCCTTTAAGCTCACCTCATCTTCTGTGATGTCACCCTGTTTGTCTTTGATTTTGTTGGCAATGGATCTGGAGAGCTCCACCATCTCTTTTGCCTACAGGGAAAGATAATGAGTCGCTGAAACAAGGCCGATAAACCTGGCTGTATTCTGCCTGACCACTGAGTGACTGACCTTTTCCATTAGTTTACTGAGATCCTCAAAGGCCTGAAAGAAGAGACAGATATTAGAATGCAAACTTGAAAAAGGTGATATCCAAAATACCTCTTTATCACGAGCCAAAATCACCTGTAAATCACTGGGTGTGCCCACACCTAACAGGATATCCCACCGCTGTGCACTCTCTTTTTATCTTCCATTATAGCTGTGCCAGGAAGCTTATCAGAGCTATGAGGTCATCTAGCATTAAACACAGGGTGCAGTTTTCTTTCAACATCAGTGGCCCCTCAAAAGGGGGCCACAGCACCCAATGCTTGATTGTGGCCACAGCTTTCCTTACTAACATCCCAGAGCTCTTTATGTTAGATATGACTACCTGTCAGTCTGTTTCTCTTTCTTACCTCAGAAATGTTTTTATCCGTCTCTTTTCTTTTCTCCTCCAACTTCCGTTCAATACCCACAATGCCCACTGCGCGTGTCCTTCCTGCCTACAGAACCACAGGAAAAAAGAATAGAGAAAAATGAGCCTCAGTCTTTGTTAAGCACACTACGCACAAACAATAACTTAAAAAAAAAAAAAATCCAAACAAATGACAATGGAACGGGAAGGAAAGGGTTTGGCTGTGGGTCACTGTTTCAGGGCTACGGCGTGTTCCTTATGAGACACAGTTTTTAAACAACTGCCATACAAATGTGAAAACAACATACCCTACCATTCAAATGTTTGGGGTTGGTAAAATTTTTGATGTTTTATGTTTATCTTATGCTCATCAAAACTGCAATTATTTGATCAAAAATACAATAAAAACAGCAATATTGGAAAATATCATTAAAATTTTAAAATAACTGCATTATATTTAAATATATTTTTACAATGTTATTTATTCCTGGGTGGCAAGGCTGAATTTTCAGCATCATTACTCCAGTCTTCAGTGTCACATGACCCTTCAAAAATCATTTTATTATGCTTATTTGATGCTCAAGAAACATATTTTTTATTATTATCAACATTGAAACAAGTTATGCTGCTTAATATTTTTGGGTAAACTGTGATAATTGTTTTTCAGGATTCTTTGATGAATAGAAATAATTTTTCGTCCAAATTTATATTTCGGGGTGAACAATCCCTTTAATGCATACTTCCTGAAAAAAAAGTATACATTTCTTTCAAAATTGCAATTTTCTAAAACCAAACTTTGGAATGGTAGTGAATTTGAACAGCAAATTTATTAACATTATTACTTTTTTTTGTTTATTTAATATTTCTATGACAAAAACACATAACAATTACAAAAAACTTAGATTAGATACCAAGTATATATGTATATATATATATATATATATATATATATATATATATATGAAGAGTTCAGATGCAAAAGCCTCTAAATGCCATTTGAAATTTTCTTCTTTAATGATGATTTTTATCAAACTTGTATGTTTAAGTTCAGCAATTTCACTTAAATAACAATTAATAGGTAATTATCATTGCCATTTAAGTGAAATCACTGAACTTAAATATACAAGCTTGATAAAAATTATCATTCTAGAAGAAAATTTCAAATGGCACTTAGAGGCTTTTGCATCTGAACTCTTCATATATATATATATTAGGGCTGTGCAAAAATTAATTGCGATTAATCGCATCCAAAATAAAAGTCTGTGTTTACATAATATATTTGTGTGTGCTGTATATAATTATTTTGTATATATAAATACCTATGCATGCATGTATATATTTAATAATTATTTGTGCTTAAATTCTGTATTTGTATATAAATACATAATCTATATTATATAAATATAAATATTTTATATAGGAATAACACATTTTCTTAAATATATACATGCATGTGTGTGTATTTATATATACAAAATAATTATATACAGCACACGCAAATATATTATGTAAACACAGACTTTTATTTTGGATGCGATTAATCACAATTAATTTTTGCACAGCCCTAATATATATATATATTTTTAAAAAGGGTTTTAAGCCATCAACATGAACATTTACAAAATAATACAGCTCTTTAAATAAGCACAAAACAATAAATAGAAAGAAAAACATGTACTGTATATTATTAAAACATTAAGCATCATTCAAAGTGTCTGTCTGAGCTGACCTTGGGTCCTGTTACTGTGGGGATCGGCTGTGAGACGGGTGTATTCTCCCATCGCTTCTGAGTCATCTCTTCTGTTAGACGTCTGTAAAACTACACATCAAACACAGCACAAGTTACCTTATTTACACCTTCCTAACACCTCATCTGCTCCGTTCCTGTCTAAATGTCATGACTGCTTATGCTCCAAACTGTATTAAGCCAGATTTAGTGGAGTAATTAGCTCCATGCATTATCTCAGTTGAAATATTTTTGTGACATCACTCCTTCAGTTACTGACCTCAATCTGCCCATGTTCCTTGAAGGACAGCTTTATATAAGAGTACTTGCTCTGCTGGTAGGGGCCTGGCTCCTTATTTTCAGGGGATGGATAAAGGTGAATAACAATCTTGGCACTGCAGGGTTTGAAAGACAACAACTTAATTTAATATATAGATTAATAACGAGATTTACAGGTTGTAGCTTCCATTATTATTACTGCATGTTCCATATGTCAGATGTGTGAATTGCATGCGGATGTTACCTCTTTCCGATGCCTGCTGCTTGCTCCTCAAAGTATATGACCTGTGACAGGGGTATGCATATGCAGCATTCCTACAGAACAACATATTAGAGGAATCAAAAATGTAGGCAAATACACTGTGCTCTCAAATGTTCTCTGTTTAAAGCAAAAGGACAGGAAGAAAAGATGATGAATCAATTTAAGTGCAGAAACAATATACTGAAGATGACATTACATGACTCTTCTGGTCTCTCCAGAGCAGGCGATGGGTACTGAGAAGAATGGCTCCAACATCAAGTTTAGCCTATCAACGAGGAAAAAGGGAAATCTGTGAATTACTGAACACTAATGTACACCATTTAAATAGAGCATATCTTTATGTCATCTACTAGGTAACATTTTACAATAAGGTCGCATCTGTTAATGGTCCTGTATTAAAACTAGCATGAACTAAAAGTCATATATTTCTTTACAACATTTAATAATCCTTGTCAATGTTAGTTAATAAAAGTACAATTCTTCATTTTTCTATTCAGTCATTAGTTCACAGTGCATTTAACTAATGTTAACATAACTTTTAATTTTTAAAAACGCATTAGTAAATGTTGAAATTAACATTAACTAAGGCTAACAAATGCCTTAGAAGCTTTAAGTGAACTAATGTCAACATTCAACAAATGAAAACTTATTGTAAAGTGTTAGTCTTCTGTATTTTTTTATTAAAATGTTTTATTTTTGATCTCCTTTTAACAACTTTAATGCATAATCTCAAATATATTTGTCGTCATCTATAATCTTATGCATTATTGTCAAAACAGAATCTTCCACATGGATGTCATTTTATAACTTTTAGCTGAATCCACATGAACTATATCTAACCTTGTCTTCCCCGTCGTAAAGTCTCACTCCTCTTTGTTGGATTACTAACGTTTCGTTCATCTCAAGGAGCCCATTTGTCCAAACAAATCTGTCCATTTTTATCAAAATAATAAAACAAAAGTGAAAAACAGAACTAGAGCATATTAAACATACACATGAAGCTACAGCTGTTTACTTCCGCTAAAGATGTCCGAGAATACGCCTGTCTCAAAAAATTTGACAATCTATTCAAAGAAACCCGCAAAATTATATTTAATACGTGTTATATGAAGTCATACAAATACAATTAATATATATGTATATATTTCCGTTTCCATATTGTGAGAATTATATTAATACATAATTAGTTTGTTATTGTTACAACCAATTGTCAATATGTTTGACATCTAAAAACAACAACTGAGCTAATATTTTGATAATACAATATTAATGATTTACTAAATGCCATTTATATCAAAACAAAATGTCAAGTTGAGGCGCATTTAGAAACAGACTCTTTCGTTTCGGGGTCCTGACAAAGAAAGTCGCAGACGAACTGCAGCATTTAGCATCTCTGCTAAACCCCAACAAACACCGAAACTATATCAAAATAAACTAAAGCTAGCGCGTGAACTATGACCTTCAATCACTTCGGCGGATTTTTTAATTGTACAAGCATGATAAAAGACTTGCATGTCTGTGAAGAATGATGCATATGAAGATTGTGGATTTAGCACTGGACTATTGTTGTTCCTCATGTCAATGATGCCAGTCGGCACTTAAAGAGACCGCCATCCTTCCGTTGGACTCGCTGAACCTGTCCGAAAAGATTCTGGATTCACAAAAAAAAAAAATATATATATATAAGATTTATGCAAAAAGTTGATGAATTCAGACAATAGTGCTGTGAATAATTGAAAGGGGTTACTGCATGAAGTTTCCCATCAGCAGGTGAATGAAGGCTTGTCATTGAGATGCTGTAAGAGGTATTGATCATCAATACAGTGATCAGAGAAGATGGACAAGAAATCATTTGATATCGTTTTGGACGAGATCAGAAAGGTACCGTTTAAAATAAAATGGGTTATCTGTTAAGGAAGTAGGGAGTGGTGATCAGTTGGAGTGATTATTATTATCAATATTGAATAAGCAACAGTATAACATTTATATTATATTTTCCTTTGTTCTGTAGTGTGTTTTGACAGATCAACGAATCAAAGCAATTGAACAGGTTCATGGGTATTTCTCCAGTGAACAGGTATGTTGACATCGTAACACCAGGGAACAGTAATTCCAGTATTTTACATCTGCTTACCTGTCAAATTTCCTTCCTCAGGTGATTGACATTTTGAAATACTTCTCCTGGGCAGAGCCCCAGATAAAGGCTGTCAAAGCCTTGCAACATGTAAGAATTCTGCTTCTTTATATTTCTTTATCCACAATCTTGTGACACAATTTAACCACATAACATGTTTTCTTCCTGCAGAAAATGGTTGCAATTCCAACAACAAAGGTTGCAAACATCCTTAATTGTTTCACGTTCTCAAAGGACAGAATAATTGTACTGGAACTCATAGCTCTGTAAGTTACACTCTAGTCTACATAAATAATTAGACGCATCAGAAAATATCCAAACAATTCAAATATAATCAAGCATTGCAATATGTAATGTGTTTTGTATAGAAATATTTCTGATGCCCAAAACTACCATCCTGTGGAGGATGTGTTTCGTATTCACCTTTCTGAGAAGAAACATGCAAGAAGAATCCTAGAGCAGGTACTTGTTCAAGTGAATTTACAAACTTTGCTAAGTCTAGATGGTATTGAATGAATGAGGATTTTAATGCAAGCCATGTCTGTGATTTGTTCAGGTGTGTAAAGTTGGATGTAAAGCTCCAGTGGCGATGATTTCATCCTGTGGGATGATCCCAGGGAACCCTTATCCCAAAGGCAAACCCAGTCAGGTCACAGGGACATTCCCTGTGAGTTCCTTTACTTAATACATTTAAATGTGTATCATTTAATTTAACTATTAAAAAATAATTATGGCTTTTATTGAAACTTTCAAGGGAATTTCTGCCAAAAAGGATGGAGAGGATGCAACCCTGGATGGAAAGGGAATTGCTGCGCGCATACTCGGACCAAGCAAACCGGTATGTTTTACTGGCTAGGTGTTACTTACTTCCCAAACAAATTTATTCTTTAAAAGCTTTTGATGCTTCATTAATAAGGCAAAGAATAATTTTATCTTGGATAATGGATTGGTCTCTTTGATGTCATATCTTTATTGGTCCTTTTATTGCATATATTTCTATTTTTCTAACAGTCACCATCAACATACAATCCACACAGACCTGTGCCATATCCTATTCCGCCATGTCGTCCACACGCCACCATTGCTCCAAGTAAGACTCTTTTTCTTCAGATTAGAAAGGAATGATTAAGAATAAGTTGTCTGGGAAATGATCTCCCTAATGGACAAAAGAAATATGGAGTAGACCATGTATATGCCAGCAGAGTGTCTGTGTACAATATGGAAATGGATGCAGAATGTTCTTACCCTCTTCTCTGGATGCTGCTCAGGTGCGTACAACAACGCAGGTCTGGTGTCAGTAGGTGGGGTCATCACTGCCACTGTGCCACCCCCACCTTACCGAGCCACTCTCAATTCGGCAGGTACAACGTGCAGATGCTGTTGCTAGCACTGTGTGCTGCCTTTAACAGCTGTGATGGCAATGTAGACGCTACCTCACCATGGCATGCGCTAAATCTGCAGCACCTATAGCATGCAATATGTTCATGCTTAAAACTCTCTCCAGGGCATTCTTTACTGATCTAACTGAGCTAATGTTGTCATTTCTATTTGCTACGACTGATTATAAGGAGCACAAATTCTAAAATGCATATTATTGTAACTGATTTTTCCAGAATCAATGTGTGAAAGCAAAGGTCTGAGGTTACTCTGAGGCACTTGTAATGGAAGTAATCTAGAATAGTTAAGTTAAGAGCACAAATGTGCACAAAATTCTTTTTGTAATGAAAAGTAATGTTTTAGACTAATGTAATACGCCTACATTTTTAAAGGTCCTAATGTGTCCTTGCACAATTGTGCAAAATTTACAATTTACCAGCTTTTCATTATCATTATAGGAGTTATTGCATATAACTTATTAGTATTATCAAGTTTTTATATTTTTACAAATCAAGGGGAACACTTTGCCTGCTTGCTTTTACCTCAAGGGGGCACTGTGACATTTAGTGTCAGTCAATGTTTTGAGCATGAGTGCTTGCTCTGTTGCATTGCGCATCTTATGGTGCTTCTAGAAGATTGGGACATTTCCTGAATTCTCTCTTGCTTTCTTTCTAATGCGTCTAACACTAATAAACCAAGATGCATGTGGTGCCTGTGTCTAAACTTAATGGATCTTTCTTCCTTTTAATATTTCATTGTGCTTATTGTTTCATATTTCCAGGTTACAGCCGACCTGGCAGTCAACAAAATCCAACCTCCAACATCTCTGGCACACCTGCTATTTCTCCTCATAGCTCCACCCCATCTACTCCCGTCACCCCCCAGCCTCATCCTACCACACCAATCACTCCAGTTTTCCCAGGCATGGTCCCATCCCAGAATCCTGTAACACCCTCCCCTACTCCTGCACCCTCTCCCTCAGTCATCAAAGGGCCTCCTGCCCCAGCTGGCTCTCCCCAAGTTGCCTCTAACTCCAGTGGCCACACTACACCTGTTCCCTCTCCATTCCCTGGCATGCCCCCTTCTGGTAGAAACACCCCTTCAGTCATCAGAAGTCATACCCCATCTGGAACACCCTGTGGTACACCCGGGCCAAGTACAAGCATCCCTCCTTCTCCGTTCCACAATGCTCCCCGTGCCGAAACACCTTCCGGTGGCCTCACACCTACTCCCAGAGCGACTGGCAACCCCTCGACTCCTCATGGAGCTGTGGGATTACCCTCAAAGAAGGGTTACCCACCTTCCTCAGATTCCCAGTCAGCACTTCCATTCCCAAGCACTACCTCTACCCAGTCACATTCAGTTATCCGTAGTTACACCCCCTCAGGAATGTCCTCTCTAACTCCTGGACGCTCTACTCCCATCATGCAAGGTGTTGGAGGATTATCAGTGGCTCCTGCTGCTCATAGTCCTAAACCCTTGACATCCCAGGCAGCCATGATTAGCCCTGCTTTCTTTAGCGAGCAGACTGCCAACTCCATGGCCCGGCATGGGGGAGGTAGTGGAAGCAACAGTCCTGTCCATTCCGCTTTCAAAGGTCCCTCTCGCTCTGGCACCCCTTCTCTTAGCTCTCTAGTAATGCCTAACTCAGCTGTCCTTACCCGACCTGTGGGCATGGCCCATGGTGCTGCCTCACCACAGTCTTCGTTGCCCAGCTCCATAGCCGGACTGCACAGTCTTTCCTCTGCTCTGGGCTCTCAGTCTGGAAGCAGCCCTGCTCCGCATTTTTCAGCAATGTCTCCTTTTTCTGGAGCCCAATCCTCCATTTCCTCTCCATCCACTCCTACTCCTCCGGTCTCATCTGTGTATTCTGGTTTAGCTCACTCTAGTGCTCCCACTCACTCCCCCTTTGGCCTGGGATTGACCACAGGTCCCTCAGTGTTCCCGGGTCTTCCTCCCGGCCCAAACCCTGCCTTCCCAGGGTTTGGAGGCACTGGACCCCCTTCAGCAGGTAGTCCAGTGCTGTCCTCCTTAATGGGGCTTCCAGGTGCCTCTTCCTCAGTAGCCACCGTTGCACCTCTCCAGGCAGCAGTCGCAGCGGCCGCCGCCGCAGCAGGAGTCCCCTCCTCTTCTCCTGTGCTTCCTGGATTCGCCTCTGCATTCAGCTCTAACTTCAACCCTGCTCTGGTTGGCCAGGCTGGGTATGTTTTTTCTTCTTCTTCTGTTTAATTACTTTGCATGAAGTGCATATGATATGGAAACAACTGTTCTAAAACCTTGTGAGCTTCCTACTTAGCCAGCAATATAGTTGCACTACCAAACATAAAGGCTTTTCCAAAATGTAGGAAGCCTAATTACATTTGATTAAGTTACGTCAAGTCAAGTCAAGTTATGTCAAGCCAACGAAAGAACAGTGTGTGATTCGGGTAGCATTACAAGACAAATTGGATCGAAATATTAAGAGCATTTGTCCATTTCCATCACGCCGATATGGAGACGAGTTGTTGAGGATCAGTGCCGATGGCTGTCGTGTCGATGAGGCCGGCACTTAAGGATGAGTCGGGATGGGTCCAGGCGCAGGTCCACCAAAGAGGGTCCCTCGGGATAAACAGAGAAACTAATATTAGCGTAGACGCCATCCTTCTTATAATATACCAAGTACATCAGGATTTACGGAATTCCGAGATCGCAATAGACGTGAAGGACTATAATGCGTTAACAGCTCGCTCAAGTACTGGGGAGCTGAACCATTTAGTGCTTGTATACATACTGAAACGTATCAATAACCATTCAATGTAATCACAAATGGACTCAGAACTTGTGTATTATGGGGTTTCGTCTCAGTTACGATGCTGCCTTTGAAGGATTATGTAGGCAGTGGGCAGGTCACTGACTCACTGGGTTGGAAACTTATGTCAAACATTTTCCAGTTGATATGCTCTCTGCAAAGTCCAAAGTCTATACTTTCAATTTTTTGTATTATCAGAGTGATATGGATTCCTCAAAGGAATTGAAAATCTGTCAAAGTAAACCATAACCTCCCAAGTATTTTATGGTCATATGACTGATTGACTCAAAGTTCAGAATAGTGGGTCTCTCATCAATATATAACACGTGAATTAGTGCTGTCAAGGCCTAGGGTGTTATTGTAGTGAGCACATATGTCATATGCTATAGCTTTTCTTTTCTGATTGCACGGTTGACTTTGAATTGGTGAGACTACCTAACAAATTCAATCTTTTTGTATTTTTATCTGACAGTAACATAATCAAAAGAATTGCATTATGAATAGCCTTCTGTAATGTTGCTTAATGTGTTACTCAGACTAACTGGAAGTCTTCAGGCCCCTGGAGGTGGAGCTTTCCCAGGGTTGCTGTCTTTCCCCCCAGGGATGCCCAGCTTCTCCACGACAGCATCTCCTGTTGCCCTCTCTGGTCTACACAACTCCGCAATGCAATCTGCACTTTTGCAGGTAGAGCACACATGCTCTTTGTCTGCATCTCTAATTGATTATTAAAGGGTCACTGGCTATTATTACTATGCCTGTTATTATGATTACGAGCAAGATTTTTAAAAGAATTTGCAACTCAAATCAAATGTTTGTTTTTTTGCACGTGATTGCAGGCTCACTCAGCATCAGCGCTGGACAATTTCCCTCCCCAGCCGAATGGATTCACTAACTACCCTGCAACCGCTGGTTCGAGCTTCCCTCTGCAGCCTGGCCTGCACCCATCACTGGGCTGGCAATAGAGAGCATTAAGAGGACAGGCATATCGGAAACTATGAGTGGGTGTGTGCGTGTGGTGTGAGTAAACAATGCAGAACATTGTGGACGGTTGTGCTCTGCATGAAAAAGACGTGTCTGAAAGGGTTAGTTCAACCAAATATTTTAATTCTGTCATTAATTACTCACCCTCATGTCGTTCCAAACGCGCAAGACCTTCGTTCATCTTTGAAACACAAATGAAGAAATCTTTGATGAAATCTGAGAGCTTTCTGTCCCTCCATAGACAGAAATGCAACAACCACTTTCAAGGCCTAGAAAGGTAGTAAAGACATAGTTAAATATGACTACAGTCGTTCAACTTTAATGTTATGAAGCAACGAGAATACTTTTTGTGTGCAAAAAAACTAAGTAACAACTTTATTGAAGAATTTCTTCTTTGTCAGTCTCCTGCGCTGTTGACGTACTGAACAGTGCAGCGCTTCCGGGTTCAATGTCAGAATGCCGGCTTTTTATTGGCCAGCTCCTGCCTCAGCATCACACGCTTATGTCGTGGTGCTCTCGTGGCTTCTGCGTTCTTTTTTTTTGTTTGCGCACTTAAAATTGTCTTGTCTCTTCATAACATTTGGTGTCACATGGACTATTTTAATGATGTCTTTACTACCTTTCTGGGCCTTGAAAGTGATAATTCCGTTTCTGTCTGTGGAGGGACATAGAGCTCTCGTATTTCATCAAAAATATTTTAATTTGTGTTCTGAAGATGAACGAAGGTCTTACAGGTTTGGAATGACATGAGGGTATTTTTAATTGTCCGAATTTTCATTTTTGGGTGAACTAACCCTTTAATGCAAACTAATGTGGCAGCTCTACTCTCCACTAATTCCCTGTAGAAGAGACTCAAATGTCTCAGATCGAGACATAAACTTGTGGTATAGTACTCTGCATTAGCAGATCATCATTTTGATTCACTTTTGAGAGCTGGGGTATTGACATATATATTTGAAAGGATGAAATGGATACTAAAATTAAGTATTATTTTTGGGGGATGGGGGGGTGTAGAAGTAACTAGGGCTTAACTCTGTTTAAGCATTATGGTTATTTTAATTTTAAATATACACCAGTAGATGAACTGTGAATCGTGTGGGTGTCTATTTTTTTCTTTTTCTTTCCTTGTATCATGAAGTAGTGAGTTAACTGATCTTTTCTTCAGATGTTGGTCAAATACTGTACATGTAAATACCCTTTGAGATTGGGTAAATAAGATGTTTGCTCTTTGTACTGTAGCTGGTTTTTATTTCCCCCCTACTTACAGACGTCTCTATAGGAATTGAAGAGTTGTGAAGAACCATGAATTTTGCATGTATACAATATATGTAGATCTCATTTGTGTCCATTATATATAATAAAATATAATAAAGAATATGGTAGGTGTAGATAATCACTAGTATGTTCTAACAGCATAATGAAATAAAAGCTCTTTTCTTAGACTTTCTTTGTTTGTATTTATTCTGAATGTTTTGGTTAGCAGTGGTATGATCTATCACTTGTCAGTTGAGGACTTTCCAGAATGACCATAAACCCACAGAAACCGTTTAAAATGAGATACAATGCAAGTAGTCACTGCAGACAAAACCAAATTCAAATAGATTGGCTGCCAGGATTCTGTTCTGCATTCATGTACAGATTTATTCCTAAAAAAATGTAGTTAAACAGATGGCTTTTAGTTACTAAAACTTACTGTTAGTTACTATTATTTCTTCAGAAAAGTTATATTAATTTACCACCAATAATGTGTTGTAAGGAAGTTTGCTTTGTATCAATGATTTCTCCTTTTTGAATGTTAGAGAAAATTTGACTTGGTAAATATTGAGGTCTTTGCTTTTGAACGATTATTGCCCACATAGCAGGCGTGACATCACTGCATTACTCTTTTCCACGTCATGAATCATGAGACTATTTTCATTACGACTAGTTTCCACTTGACCTTTAGTACCGTTTTACTTGGATTTATGCAATACTACCTATGGCTAGTTCCTCCATCTAAACAATGAATGGAAATCCTCATAAGACTAGATATAAGTAATTCAATGGTTATATTTATATAGTAAATATAGTTCAAACGTTTATAGGGAGAAGCACACTGGCTAAAACGAACGGAAGTGTTTCAGAGAAATAATCTTCATTAAAAACATCGGCTGCATAACATACAGTGAGTGGTGCCATAAGACCATTAGAGTCTGTAAATGATCTTCTAATTGCATTGCAAGCAAGGCCACACCCTTCATGGGAAGTGCTTTAGCAGTACAAAAACATCTCTGTTAGCCACAAAGTCAGTGCTGTCTTCTACACACACTGTAGCAACACAACCACATGGAAATGGAGTCTGAAGTGGAGCGAGGTGCCCAGAGCAAGCAGAATCTAATCAGTAAGAAGATCTCTATATTTTTTTCTGTCCTTGAACTGTAACATGCAACATGCTGAGAATAATACAGTAATATAGTAACCATCCTAAATTATACTACTACAGTATGGTTTACGGTTGACTGAGTTTGTGTTCCTTAACTATCATCTGTTAGGCTTATATAATTTGCATTAATATTTGATTTGCAAAGTGGTCAATTTGCTACACCGGTTCACTATATTGTTCCTGCATGAGGGAAGAGAAAGAAATATACAATACGTAGTAAGTACTGTTGTACTTAGTTTTAGTATTCCTAGTCAGATGTTTATATATAATTAACAGACAAGAAAGGTTAACTAAGCTTGAAGTCAATGGTATTACACGCAAAATAGTGTGTCACAATATAGGGAAGCTAACAAAATGGTTTAAAAAACAGCAAATGACTGTCAGCTATACGGCTACTTAACAAAAACCATAAAAAATAAAGTAAAATTTAAATAAATTGTGAAAACGTTTACAGAAAAAACACTGCTATTTAAAACATTACAATCTTCTATTTTATAATATTACAATCAAACACTGTAAAATAAATAAATAAATAAAAAAACATTGAAAAAACAGTCAACTGACTGTCAGCAATAGCTGCCATGCAGAAAACATAAAATGAATGTAAAATACTGATCTCAATCATGGTGGCATTCAATTTTTTTCTTAAAGTTTTTTGCACTTTTTTTAAATGAGCATATTTTACACAGTCATTTGACCCTGTAAGGCCCGGCTCAATCGATCCAATGGTAGCATTCGATGAGCAAGTAATTTGCTTAAACTATAGTGCAATGCCTGTGCAAAATCAGTTTTTGTGTGTTTAGTAATTTTTTGTTTGGTATGTTTGATTTGCTTAATAGCCTAGGCTACACATGATTCTTTTTGAAAAAAGTAGTGTAAAAATGTAATTATATATTTGTTACAGTCTTATACATTTATTACAATGTAATTATACATTTATTACAATGTAATTACTGTTTTACAGTGTTACATTTTTTTTTTACAATGCAATTATACATTTCTATAAAATTAAATGATTCTCAATATAGGTGAAAAAGAGAAGGTGACAGTCAGAGAACCTTTCAGCACTTTGAAGTTTTTGAGTTGGCCCATTGTAATTAGATATTACAGTGTTATACATTTATTAGAATGTAATTATAGATTTATTACAGTGTTATTATACATTTGTTACATTATTATTATTCAAGTTATTGTTTTGTTACATTATTCGTTTAGAAAAAGTAGCGATTCTTTTTGAAAAAAGTGTAAAAAAAATGTAATTAAACATTTGTTACAGTCTTATTTAACATTACAATGCAATTATACATTTATGTAAAACATACATTTCTGTAATATTAAGATTCTCAATATAGGTGAAAAAGAGAAGGTGGCAGATAGAGAACCTTTCAGCACTTTGAAGTTTTTGAGTTGGCCCATTATTCTGGTTTGAATAATTACATCAGATTGGAGAAAGTGTATTTGAGAGTGTATTATAGTTTCATGATGTCTTATTTTAAGTGAATAGATTGCTCTAAGCATTTCGACACAAAATAGTCCGACTCCTGACTGCAATCAGTACAGTGAGTCGTACCGTTAACACTGCATGTGAAAAAGATAAGTCAAAATGTACACACTTATTTTTCTCTTAAATGAGTATGATAGACTGCATATAAACCATGGCCTTAGTTTCAAATTGTGTGTGGAAAAATGAGTGTAGCCTTATCCATCACACTTACATATATGATAAGTAATGAGAGGGTTTGTGGGCCAATGTTCACCTACCCATAAAGGGCCACCAAGAATCGATTTATGATGATGAGGGTCTTCCTGGTGACACATTTATCTAAGCTAGTATACTGTTGATCCAGTGAGGGGCCGATATTGATTGTAATGGTGTAAAGTGCTTTTACTCAGGAATTAAGGGTAAAAGATAAGAAGTGGTTCACGGTTTGAGTGTCATGGATAGGTTGCAAACAAAACCATCTAAATAAAATGCTCATTTTAAGTTTAGTAGTCAACTGCTACACTTTGGGTTTGACTTCTTATTTAACTTCATGTTAGTCATGTGCTGTTTGTGATAATGTTTTCTGTTGTTGCAGGTGAAAATAATGGGGGTTTGGGTTGCTGTGGGTGGATCCTTGTGATTATCTCAGCGTTTTTCAGCATCTTAATATTTCCAATCAGCGTTTTCATAAGCATTAAGGTACGAACCACAATAGAAAACCGATAATCTTGAAAGTGTTTATTACTAGGCTCTCTGAAAGCAGTTTTGTTTATTGACAACGCATTCTCACCCCAAGGCGTCACCTTTGACCATGCTTCAATATTTGACGATCCTACGGCGTCATCTAACTGACGCTAAAGGAAAGCGTCTGTTAGAGGACGCGGTTAGGTTTAGGTGTGGGGTGGGGGTAGGGTACACGCGATCCTAGGGCGTCATCTTACTGACGCTAAAGGGCGCCTAAAGCGTCAGATATTGAAGCATGTCCAAATGCTTCCCAGTTAAGTGACGCCTTGGGGGTGAGAATGGGCTGTTATTGAGGTTCAATGTTTAGTGTCACTGTGATTGACACTTGATTCTCGGCTGGTTTTGTACTGGTTTCGTGACTCTTGTATTATACAGCTTCTTTTTTCATCTCAAATAATAAAAGTAATGTATTAAATAAATGTTAACAATTCAAAATTCCAACTCATATCGGTATTTCACTTATTTATACTTTAATTTTAATTAAAATCGTTGATATAAAATAAGATACTAAACACTAAACACTCCCGATCTATAAGTAACAAGTCTTGCATTTGAACAGGAAGCAGATGTTGTTCAGATGTTTTATAACCCATTTTATGTGTTTCGTTTTATAGATTGTGAAAGAGTATGAGCGTGCTGTCATATTTAGACTGGGGCGGATAACAGATCGAAAAGCCAAAGGACCAGGTAAACAAGAACGTTAAGTATCTTCTTTAGAACTTAGTAAGAAACTTTCCGTCCCTCGGCTAAACAAATGCTGGAGTATTGCATGCATACTTATATGTTCCTGTTTCAGTTTACACCAGCTGAGGACTTTTACAGAACTTGTTCTTAAAACAACTCAAAACTCATGTTTAGGACAAATAATGAATCAATGTGTACAACACAGATCATATAACAAATATAATTAAAAACTGTCACTTGTGTCTAGGAATCTTCTTCATTATCCCCTGCACGGACTCTTTTGTCAAAGTGGATCTCAGAACCATCTCGTTTGACATCCCTCCCCAAGAGGTCAAGTAAAAATATATATATATTAGATATAGATATATTACGCAATAAACGGGAAGTTAATATTGAGTAGCCTTACGTACATTTAACAAACTAAATTGCCTATTAATATGTCTGATTTAGCTCCACCAACAAAAATGGTTCCAATCGAAGTAAAAGTGGACATACAGTAACTGCTTTCGTTCCTTAACGAATCAGTGTTTCGAATGAATTCTTTCCGTGAATGATTCAATGACTCACTCATAAGGAAAGCCACATGTTACATCCTCGAATGAAACTGTTTTTGAGTGCAAAGTTTAAGGCTGAATTAGGAATATTAGCGTCATTTTTTACTATTTGGGCCATAAAATATGGGAAAAATAGTAATAGCAGTATGCAATTTTGAATTCAGCCTAAGTGAATCACTGACTCACTAATAAAGATGTCCCTTGTTTTATTCCTGAATGAATCAGTGTTTTTGAACAATAGTTTGAAAGACTACATGACTACAACGTTTAATACAAAATGTAGCCTACATTTATCAGTTTAAGACTCACACTTAGTATTAACTTAAGCATTTAGCCTACCAAGTTTCCATATTTTCATTTTTGTTTGCTTTTAGATATTGACCAAAGACTCAGTGACAATTTCTGTGGATGGTGTTGTGTACTTCCGTGTAAGTGACCCTGTTGCCTCAGTGGCAAACGTGTCCAATGCGGATTACTCCACCCGCCTACTGGCCCAGACCACCTTGAGGAACGTCCTGGGGACCAAGAACCTGGCTGAGGTCCTTTCTGACCGAGAAAGCATCTCCCACAGTATGCAGGTGTGCTTTAGAACAAGAGACAAAAGTGCCCCCAATTATAATTGCAGTTTGTCCAACAATACTTCTCCCTGCTACAGGTGACTCTAGATGAGGCCACAGATTCGTGGGGAATCAAGGTGGAGCGGGTGGAGATTAAAGATGTTAAACTACCACAGCAGCTGCAGAGAGCTATGGCGGCCGAGGCCGAAGCAACCCGTGAGGCTAGAGCAAAAGTGAGCGTTACAGCCAAACCTACCTCAAGCAACGTTTGGTTTCTGTGTGGGATGCCATACCTTAATACTGTTTTGTGATAATGCAGGTCATTTCAGCAGAGGGAGAGATGAATGCATCCAGGGCTCTGAAGGAGGCGTCTCTGGTGATCTCAGAGTCTCCATCCGGACTTCAGCTCAGATATCTCCAAACTCTCAGCACCATCGCAGCTGAGAAGAACTCCACCATCATCTTCCCTCTGCCCATGGACATCATCAGTCACTTCATGAAGAAATGATCGCTGAATATTCACAAAGTCTGCAGATGTTTGCTAGTCATTTATTAATAAGTATTACATTATTTTCTTATGTGCCATGTTTTACACACATTTCAGTTTATTGCATGTTGTAGGAATGATGTTATATATATAAGCATAAAATTGTGATGCAAATCAAGGTTTACAAATGACTTTATTTAAAAAAATAAGTGTCATATTTCAGAAAGTATATCAATGTAACGCAACTTTCAAATGCTAATTTTACAAGTATGCATGAAATTAGTTAAAATCTAAAGTAAAAACAGAATTGCTTTTGTAATTTTTTTCCAAATGGAGGTCTTCAAGCTGTTCTTCATCATAAAGAGTCATTCATTTAGGAGAAGAAGAAATCAAGATTTCGGATGTTCAGATCAGAGTTCTTAGTCCCAGAGTTGTAACCTCTCCATTCATATAATTATATCCTACCGTTCCACTAGAGGACACTGTTGTCGTGTCAAAGACTTCCCGGTGTTCATGTCAAGGTGGAATCTCAAAGATTTCTGTGTGGTCTTCCATGCTCTCCTGTGTCAGTATCATAGATTCTTCATACACATCCAGACGGAGACAAAGAATAACACTAAAGGGTAGATTTACAGTACAAGTTACATTTCAAAATTTAATCTGTGACAATTTTAAATAGAATTAAACTAGGGTGACTAACAGTCCTGTCTTTCTCAGGACATGTCCTGTTTTCACATCCTGTCCTGGCCATCCTGGCTGTTTTTTATAAAGTGATAAAAATGTCCTGGCTTTCAAAAAACTGCTGGGAAAGATCAGCTCTACAGCAAAATATAGATGGGCAAACAAGGAGAATGAGGAAGAAAAACAGGATAAAGAGGAAGAAAACTATATATATATATATATATATATATATATATATATATATATATTAGGTCTGTCAAACGATTAATTGCATCCAAAATAAAAGTTTGTGTTTACATAATATATGTGGGTGCACTGTGTATACTTATTTTATTTTGTATATATATAAATATATATATTTAATATGTGTATATATATATATATATATATATATATATATATATATATTTAATATAAATTATATATAAATCTACATACAGTACATACAGGTACATGAAAATATTTCTTAAATATATACAAGCATGTGTGTGTGTATATATATATATATATATATACACACAGTGCACCCACATATACTATGTAAACACAAACTTTTATTTGGTTTGACAGCCCTAATATATTTTGTTAGTTTGTTTTTGCAAGTTTGTGAGAGCTATTTTTGTTTCATTTGGAGGTATTTCTTTTAATTATTTATTATTTATATATGTATTTTTCTAATACAAGAGACATTATTTCATTCATTATTTTTGAAACGGGTCATAATAAGCCAATCTGAATTTGTGTCTTGTAATATAACAATTTTCTATCCACACAGAGGAGGCATATTGAAATTAATAAGGAATCTTTGAGTAATCTTTGAGTATCATTTGAGCATCTGTTTGCCGGGCCGAGTGGCCATGGTTTTTGATAATCAAAATATGGTCAACTTAATTAAATATAATATCATCATTGGAAATTATTTGCTATGCACTTAAAAATGAAGGCCTTGCATTGGGTTTTGTTACACTATGACCATAAATAACAGAGTTTATATTTTTGGCTGAACTATTTCTTGAATAAAAACATGTTTTCACAAGGATAATTGAGGATATGGCGGTGGGACACTCACCAGATCAGGGTGGCTGGTATGACAGTGAGGCCTGCAGCCAGCAGGAAACTAAACCCGGAAAACCAGGACAGTGTAGATGCGTAGATGCTGCTGAACATTGTAAATGAAATGCCAACACTCAACATCTCCACAAAGGCTACACAAGCAAACATGGCACCTGTACACAAACACACAGGCACAAGAAACAGTGAATTGGGAATGTCCTACTTTTTTTTTTTGCAACTCCTGGATTTAATGTGGGAATGATAAAAAATATTTTGAAAAGGTATTCTATTATGTTCTAAACTATTAAGTTTCTTACCTTGCTCAGATCCAGACACTATTTTGGACATCATGGATCGTAGGACAGGAGTCGGCATGATGGACAGCAGCAAAGGCAGCCGCACTGCAATGAATAAAACATACACCATTGTTACACCTGAAAAAAGTCCATCCATCCACCCACCCATTAGAAACTCCATCAATGTCCAAACTCAGTCTTACCCAGGAACATGAGCAAGGTAGACTTCGCAAACGCTGCCATTATGAGGCCGGCTGCCACAGACATCAACCCCAGAAGGATGATGTAGGCGTCAGGCACACAGCGGGACAGCAGTGCCACTCCGGCAAAACTCACCAGATAGATAGCAGTGGAGAGAGCTGAACCATAACCCACTAACACCTCACTCCAGCACAGAGGAGTGTTCAGCTCATACAAGATGAAGATGGACATGCCACCCTGCAGAGCTATCTGTGAGGGACACACACAAAAAGTACATTTCTTTTATTTTTGCATATACACTACCGTTCAAAAGTTTGGGATAGGTTGGAATGTTTCTTATAGAAGTGACCAAGAGATTTGATCAAAAATATAGAAAAACAGTAATATTATGAAATATTATTACAGTTTAAAATAACTATTTTCTGCTTTAACATATTGAACAATTATTCCAGTGAAGGCAAAACAGGAAACTGCTCAGGAAACATTTCTTATTATAAATGCTGACAATGATAAAATAGTTAAAAAACAGCATTTATTTGAAAATGGAAATTGTTTGTAAGATCATAAATGTCTTTTCCATTTAATGTAATGCATTTTTGCAGAAAAGTATATATTTCTCTTTGAAAAAAATTAAAAAATGTGTAATTTCATTTAATTAAAATTTTTACTCTGAAGCTGAAATGGGTCAATTGTACAGTATCGTATGACTTCAGCATGTAGATTGTTATTTTTGCAATTCTGTTTTTTCCCCACAAGAGGGACAAAGTGTACCCACTTCACCCTTACTTATGCACTGTAAAAAAAATATTGTTGGTTTAACTTAAAAAATGAAGTAACCTGGTTGCCTTAAAATTTTAAGTTCATTGAAATGGAAAAATTGAGTTAATACAATGAAGGAGATTGATTTAATCATCATAAACTCAAAATATTATGTTATCTGAACCACACAAATTATTTAAGTTGATTTGACAAAAGAAAAAAATGTTGTGATAACAAATCATGAGAATATTTTTTTTACAGTGGCAGCTCTTCACAACTTTACCTCCACGTCCTTCACATTTGTACAGTGTTACACAAACATACATGAAATTCATGACTGTATCAAATTAACTTTTAATATTTATTCCAACAGAAATTGTGGAAATTGGTATATATTAATAAAAAAAAACAATCCAAAACATGGACATAATGAAATTCATTAGGCATTAAATAGAGAAACATGATGATTTTTCTTTTTTCTTTTTTTTATCTCTTGTCAAATCAACTTAATTAATTAATGTGGTTAAGATAACAAGATTTTGAGTTCCTATTAATTAAACCAATCTCCTTTGTTGTTTTAAATTAAATTTAAGGCAAGCAGGTCACTTACTTTTTTTAAGTTGAACCAACAACAATTATTTACAGTGTGACGTTCCTCCAGTGGTGGAGGAAGTACTGAATCTCAGTACTTAAGTAAAAGTACAAATACCCAGATAAATATTTACTTTAGTAAAAGTAGAAGTAACACAATGACCACCATACTTAAGTAAAAAGTAAAAAGTACTTTATTTTAAATGTACTTTAAGTATTAAAAGTAAAAGTACTTGCATAACAATTTATTATCTTAATGTCTATTTTCTAATGATTAATAAAACATTTAATTCTAACTCATTCAACCTAATAGCCTACTCCTATAATGATGTTTAATAATGATGGAAAAAAATGTCACCATTTCTGAAACAAGCTTGCAATTAGGCAATATCATGCTTATCCTTACTATATGTTAATAACTATGTTTGGCAGTAAACGAGATGAATTTATGGTGTAATTCTGAACCTCTTGGCTTGCCATAATCCTAACCAAACCAAACATATATTACACACGGTGTGTTTCCTATGCATGTAAAAACAAATTTTCGCGTATGAGTTGCACGATAAACACACTGCGTGTGAGACGCATTTAGTGTGACCGGGTTGATATACTGTATCTATGGCAACCAAACAAACGTCACTGGTGAGACAAACGTGCAACGAACGGACGGTCAGATTACGTTTTGGCAGGGGAAAAAACTGATCAGAAAATGTAACGAAAATGTAACAGAAGTTGTAGAAATGTAGTGGAGTAGAAAGTATAATAATTGCTGCAAAATGTAACGAAGTAAAAGTAAAAAGTATGCACTATTTATTGTACTTAAGTGAAGTAAAGATACGCGAAAAATGTACTTAAGTAAAGTAACGAAGTACGAAGAGCTTGTGAATAAGATCAGAATTATCATAATCACCCTAAAAAAGGCAAACGCAGCAAGCATGAGCAACAGCACTACGCTCCTTCTCCGTTTGGAGGCCGCAAAGAGCAGGTAGACGCCCTGCAGACGGCCGGTAAGAGCCTGTGACTGCCGCAGCCGAGGGGCTTCTGAATCTGAGAAGTTGGACGTAGACAGAATGGGATTCGGAAGAACCAGGGACTCCTTCAAGAACACCAGCACATAGAGGAGGTTTACCAGATGCACAAACGCAGCGGTGAGGAAGGGCCAAGTGAAGCCAGCAGCTTCAATGTAGAATCCAGTACACAGAGAAGCTAAGCCAGACAAAACCCCTAAAATCATGTCCAGTCGAGCCATTCGGACAGTCCTCTGTCCTTCTGGATCTTCTCCGCAGAGATCGGCCACATAGGCGAAACATCCGCCGATCAGAGTGGTGGGTCCGCCCATCAGGCCTGTTAGGAAGGAGGCAGCTAGCAGGTAATTGAGGCTGAAGGAGAATCTACTGACCAGGACGTAGCTCAGGGAATACAGAGCGTCTCCCACCAGTGGAGGAACGATGGCAACTTTACGCCCGCAGTAGTCGCTGTACGAGACCAGGAGCAGCGCGGATATGAGACTGGGAATGAGGAAGCACAGTTCGCTCTTGAGGAGGAAAAGAGACGTCTCCTTCTGCACTGCCTGAGAGAGGAGAGAAGAACTGGAGGTTCACACCCACAAATTCTGCTAGTTATGCCTGTAAAGCTTCGTTGATTGACTAGTTAGTTAGAAAGAAGAGTAGATAGTGAAAGTGAACTAGAAATAGGATAATGGTATTTTGAATGTATCAAATGA